GGCTCTGCAGTTTGAATGTCATCTGGAGGCCACTTGCATCCCTCCCCAGACTTGGTTTCCCAGGGAGAATGGGAATATTCTCCATTAGGCGTAACAGGCATCTCAGCAAGTGTTGGAAGTCTCCAGTCTGCAGGGCAATCACCCCTGTCTTTAGATGGGCAATGTGAGTTCTTCCTCATGAAGAGGTTTGAGAACTGCCATCCCACATTGATGTGGGATTCACAGCACCCTCGAGGTGTACACCTATTTAAAATAAAGGTTGTATCAAAATCAGACTTCATCTCTGTGCATTTTCTCAGCATTACTTGTTTTTCGCTCCGGATGTTCATCTTGTATAAAGTTGTCACGTCTTTTAGGGGAGTTGGAAGTTCTTGGCTTTTGGTGATACCTTAGGTCAGTGAGACTAATTATACAAGAGGTCAGCCCTTTTCTTTCCTGTGCTTTGGCACCTGCTGTCTCTTCCCTCAAGAGCCTTTTGTATTGTGCTTGTACCAGGATACCTTTCTCCTTTTGTGGCCCATGTTTGCTTGTGAATTCTCTTCTTCATCGATCTGTTGGACTCTGGCCTCTTCCTGTCCCCCCGCTTCAATGTGTTTTATTAAGGCGGCGACCACGAGGCAGATTCCACCCGGAGACGTTTGCATTACTTAGCCCTCCCTGCCCCTAAAGCTGTGAGCTGAGCAGAGGGCCCCATGGATTTGTTCCAGGCTGGCTGAGGTTGTTCTTTGAGGAGTGTCTGACCTAAAATGTGTACCAGGAGGCTGTTTAGCCTTGTGATGACTTGGCGTTTGTCACATCGAACCCTGTCTGCCCAGTACCCTCCCTTAGCTGAGTCTGCTTGAGATTCCCTGGCTTGCTCTTGGCTAATGTAAACATTGCTGTGTTAAAGATACCACTGCCTACTGCTCATCTCCTTCCAGGCCATTAATTAAGTGCTCCTGTGCTGGTATCTATTCTTTAATTGCAACTTAGAGTTTTTTTTAAGGAGGAGGAATCTTTCCATTGATTAAAGATTAATATTTCAAAAATGTAGAAATTAAAGTATGTTTCATAAGCGTTTACCAGAAGGCCTGTTGGTTGGGTTTTTTTTCCCTCTGCTTTTCCATTTATTGAGGAGACTTACCCAGCTCTTCAATCCGCTGCTCTCTGACCCGACGTGCCTTGGGTTACTCAGGCAACACGGACCCTTCCCACGCCTCATGGAATGGGATGGGAATGTCTTTCCTTGGACGGATACCGCCTGGTGTGTAAGGGTGGCTGCAGGGGAACTGGTGTGAGCCCATGAGCTGTGGCACCTTCATCTGCGGCCATGACTGAAACGGACCATTTCTGCAAATCCTCTTGCTTATCTCTTAGCCAGTTTTTGAGTCTCAATAAGGTGCCTTTTACTTTGTTAGAAAGTCTTTCAAACTTTGGGGGGGAAAAAGCCTACGTGGGGTTTCTCCTCTTTTTAGCAGAGAGGTCCCTTGGAGAAGGGCCGTGCTGTTCTCCTCCTCAAGGCAGCCGTGTTGGTAGAACTACCTGAGCCCCTGCACGGCATTCCCGGGCATTCCCTTGGAGCTGGCAGCGATCGGAGCGGCGAGCGGGCGTCTCCTTCCCAGTAGCTTCCCTGAGGGGAAGCACACGGGAAGCCAGGCAGTTTCATAGTGGGCAAAAAAGCCCTCGGAGTTGAAGGCTCTTCCCTTTTTCTACTTCTGGTTTTCAGTTTGGAAAGGCTGCGCGCACGGGCTGTTTGCTCTGCACAAGGTCACTCGGAACCTGAGTCTGCACTTAGCTCATTTCCCAGGCTCTGCAAATATCAAGGTCGGGCTAGGCTCGTATTAGCTTCTCAGACTAATTTGGGCTTCCTTTCTTGCCGTGTGTGTGTGTGTGTGTTTCTACATTTCCATTGAAATGTTGGCTAATTGGTGTACCTGAAGTTTTGTGGAAGGATCTGCCTTCACAAATTCACTCTGTGCTTAATTATATTTCCCAAAGAACTTTTGGGAAAGTGGCAAGAAGGCAAGCATGGGCAAACCCACAGAAAGCGTCAGCTAAGGGAATTAACCTGCAGCCGAGATGGTTGTTAGTGGCTTTCGGAAACGCTGGGATTATGAGGAGTATTAGACTGTACAATTCACAGAGGAATTTGTGCTTGGAAGTTGAGTCTCAGCCCTGTGAATGAAAGACTTGGTTCTTCCTAAAACTCTTAGCAAGCAGAAAACAAGCTTATCGAGTACGGATCTGCAAATAAATGTACTGAATTTGGTTACAATTAATTTGGGCTGCATCCCTTAAGTAACTGTTTTGGAGATCTTTTTGTGCCCCTTGATTTAAATCTTAAGCAAACAGGCAGAGAGAAAGCTTGTGTGGAATATTCATACGAGGCTTAGAATTAAATCCCTTTTTGACGCAACGCAGTGAAAGGGCCTTTTGTCACCGCTGTGGAAAAAGCCTTTGGAGAAGCTCCCGGGCCGGGTACCGTGCTGCAGACCCAGGTGCTGAGCGCAGAGGTGCCCGGCTCTTCCCTGCAGCACCTGCCCAGAACATTCCCCTCTCCCTGTCATTGGTACCAGGAGGTGCACTCCTTCCTCAGGGCCTGGTAGCCCTTTGGGAACGGTTGTCCTGTGACTGAAAACTTAAAACATGGTGACATCGATATGCTCTGTTGGCCTAATGCTGGCTTTGATCATTAGATTTATTTTTTTTTCCCAGAATTGAATCTGCTTAAGACTCTTGCTTAAGCCTGGGTTTCACTTGTAGCATCAGTAAAGGTCAAGCTTCCCTCATTGCAATATAGTAAAATGCAATAGTGGATTGCTCATATATGCCTCTCCTGCCCTGAGTGGGCTTTTCTTTGCTTTCGAAACAACCTGCATTCAGATGGTGACCCGGAGGAGGCTGCAGATGCTGCAGGAGCATTTCTGCAACGCAGATCTGCGCGCCCGGAGCGCGAGCGCCGGCTTTGATCTGCCCTGGGCCCCCTCCAAGAACACGAGGAAAAGAGCTTTTATAATCAAATACCCTCCTGATTATTGTTTTTCTGCAAGGAAGTCGGTCGTGTTGATGAGTCCTGTGATACGCACAACCGCCAGGCACCAGGCTGAGATAACTGCCTCGCTTCAGTTTGGTTGCTGATAAGCTAATGGATTTGCTAATAACGAAGGCTCCCGAGCAATGACTGCTCCTGGGACACGTGCATTGCTTTGCTTTTTACAATATGCTTTGCAGATAAGTGTGACATTCCTTTAGTATTATATTTTGCCTGAATTATTTTATTAAGTATCTGAGCAGAGGTTTTCAGTATGAAAACTCTACCAAAACTCTACAAATGGAACAGGGATCGCGGCTTGGCTGTAGATGGAGTTGGCTTAGTGTTACTATTACTACTTTTACTACTAATAGAAGTGGTCATGGTACTATTTACTACCTGTAATAGTGTTACTATTACTACTGTTACTACTACTACTTAGTGTTTTAGTTCTGTATATCAAAATAAAATATATGCTTGTATACAAGCATCATAATTTCCAGGCTGTTCATAAAGGAGGTGACTACTAAGCAATGTTTAGTAAGTATTTTTAAATTGGCAAACCTGGGTATGTTGTAACACATGGAGAGCTGGCAGGCAAAATCAGTGGCTGCCTCTTGAATTTCTTATTCTTGGAATAATTGGGAAATTCCGGCTGAATATGTGTGCAGCTGGTGAGGAAGGGAGGATCTTGGTAATAGCAAGTAATAGCAGTTTGGGCTGAAATGAGGGAAAGCTGCTGCAGGATGGTGAAGAAGGGAAGGGCATCAACAAAGAAAATAAAGTGGGAGAGTCCCATCAAATCCAGTTTTATTTTTAGATAAAGAGACTTCCTTTGGTGCTGTGTACCTCCTGTTAGCATTTTAGGAAGTATGTTGAAAAGCAGCTGGTTATAAAGCAGCTTTTTTATTTTATTTTTTTAAGAATGATTTCAGGGTTAGAGTTCCTAATATAATGGAAAGGGAAGAAAAAGTTTATGAAAAAGAAGCTTTGGATTGGATCTGTGGATTTGAGCAGTGCTTTTGAGTGTGTATTTGTGCCCATATACCACCCTGGAAAGAAACTAGCTGGTGCTAAGCCATTACTGTTTAGCCTATTGAAGCAGCTCAAAGTAAGAATGAATGACTTCAAACTCAAGCCAAACAATTTCAATCTAAGATATTAAACCATGCAGTTTGAATAGAAAAGAGGCATCAATATTTGGATGTTATTTGGGTGAATAAATACTTTAGGAACAGAAGCTGCTGAGCTTCCTCTAGATGTGATGGTGAAATCTCCTGTTCTGCAAAACCCGCTTTAGTTGGTCGTGCTCAATGGTCATGGAGCACTTGCCCTTAAACCTACTGGAAATGGGGCCTTTTGGGTTCCCTCCCTTCAATTTCAGCAGCCATTAAAAAAATTTACTCATTCTCAGATGATTTGGGGACTTTTTTCTTTCTAAAGACAGGCTGTTTGCACTTGCTCACAGAAATACCGGGGGATAAGAAAAATACTATTTTAAGTAGAAGGGCCTCAAAAATTCAACTGTGCCTCATGAAGTAATGTTTCAGCAAATAATATGCATTGCATAATTGCCTGAGGTGGGGGGGGGGGGGAAATGAAGTTCCCTTGACAAGAGTTATTTCCCTGCTGCCGGTTGCCTCTGCCTTGGCCTGCTCTGCAGGCAGGACCCGCTTCACTCCACTTCTGAAATCCTCCCAGATTTCCCATTGCACTGCACAGGCCGCCCTCTGGCTCTCACATTGTGCTCTTCCAGAGTCTTTTGTTGTTCAGCTGCTGCTTTAGGGTTGCATACGGATGCGGGTTCTTTTTCATCCACGTTCCTGACAATGTTCCTGCAATTTTTAAGCTGGAGCTTGACTGTGAGTATCCTAGATCTAGCAAGTGGACTCTGGTGTTTCTCTTGCTTGTGTTTCCTTGACACACAAGCCACACAAGAATTTGTATCTGAGTGTTTTTGCATTAAATTCGCTCCCTCTTTGCCCCTCAGGCCAGTTTTGCACGGAAGATGTCGACGAGTGTCAGCTGCAGCCCAACGCTTGCCAGAACGGCGGGACCTGCACCAACCACAACGGAGGCTATGCCTGCGTCTGCGTCAACGGCTGGAGCGGCGACGACTGCAGCAAGAACATCGACGATTGCTTCACCGCCTCCTGCGCCAACGGCTCCACCTGCATCGATCGAGTCGCTTCTTTCTCGTGCATTTGTCCCGAAGGAAAAGCAGGTGAGGATGGAAAATTTGGGTAACTGCCGCTTCTGAGAAGGTAAAACATCACAGATCTCCAGTGGATGCATTGCTTTAAGCAATGTGCTTATTTTAAATGTTTAGTGATAAGACCAAGAGTGACAAAAGAAATGCATGCTCTCTGCACACAAAGGCTGCTTTTGCCTCTGTAACTAAGAACAGAAAGTGTTTATATTGAGTTAGTGGAAAAACTTATAACAATTTTTATTGCTGGGAAAGTAGAGTTTTTTCCAATGCTTTGCAGGGCCTGGTTTTGAGAAGTTATGGGTGGTGGTGGTATGCTGCATGCCACTTAAAAATAACTGTACACAAATGCAGACAGTGCATGGTCAAATTCCTTTGGCAGTCTGTGAACTGAAGCCTGCAAGAAACCACTCGCACTTCTTGCTCTGGGGTTTTCTGTTTGAAAGATTAGGATGGGGAATTTGATTTTGCAATGTGCAGTCTGCCTGCTGGATCACAGTGTTTTGGATGAACTCCTGTGCTCTTCTCTAGGTCTTCTGTGCCACTTGGATGACGCCTGCGTTAGCAATCCGTGTCAGAAGGGTGCTCTGTGTGACACCAATCCTGTGAATGGTCATTATATCTGCACTTGTCCCCAAGGCCATAAGGGAGCAGACTGCACTGAGGACGTGGATGAATGTGCAATGGGTGAGTGTCCATGTGCTGTTTGGGATTGTTTGCTTTACAATGTGACGGGGGGGGTAGGAATACAAAATTTGTGATTGCTTCTCAGCATAAGTACCAGTCCTTCCCCGTCCTTCCTGTTGTGTTGGGCATTAGCCTGACTCTTGCACATTTCCTTAGAGTTTTGTGTGCGTTGGTTTGCAGAGTGTGGTTCGTTAAGGTACTTCCATGAGTCCTGATTAGATATTTTTGGGGCTGGGGGAAGCCTTTCTATGAAGTTTGCTCTTCAGACTGCTATGGACAAGAGCACAGTTCCTTCCAGAAAATGCTGGAAGGACTAGTTTGATGTTTTTCTGATCTTGGCATCATCCTGTTGGCATCAGGAGCAAGGTAAATGGAAAAGACAACCTAGAGATGAGGCCTTCCAAAGCAGGATTAATTCTCTTATCCATGTTCTGTCTGGAGCTGTTGTTGATTTTGGTGTGAACCAGAATTGTTCCTTTGAACCATCGTTAACGATGGCAGCCTTTTCCCAGCAGGATGAACGGTCCTTTCCCCTGTAGTACTTGGCAAAAAGGAATGACCTTGAAAGATCAGGACTAATAAAAGTTGCTGTGGCTCTCCTGCTCAGAGGAGTTTGACACAAACAGATGTTTTTCTTGCAGCAAACAGCAATCCATGCGAACATGCTGGGAAATGCGTAAACACGGAGGGCTCTTTCCACTGCGAGTGTTTGAAGGGTTATACGGGACCTCGGTGCGAAATGGACATCAACGAGTGCCATTCGAATCCGTGTCAGAACGATGCCACCTGTCTGGATAAGATTGGAGGATTCACGTGTCTCTGTATGCCAGGTGAGGCGTGTTTCTGGGAAAGATGAGGCTTCCAGAAGCAGTGGAAGAAATCACAAGGTGGAGCGCAGGAAGGTGCCAGCTCAGCCAAGGTGCAAAGCAAGGCTGTGATGGGACCACGTGAGGTCACAGAATCACAGATATGAGGAGAGAGGGCTGGCTGTGGCAATGCCACCCAAGAGACCTCATGGTTTGGGTGGGGAGGGAGAACGAGATCTTCTTGCATCACTTTTGAGTGAAGCTTGTGGGCTTATGGCTGGACTCGATGATCTTGAAGATCTTTTCCAACCCTAATGACTCTGTGATGCTCTGATTGTGGTCTTTGCTGGCACACACGTGGCCGTGTTTGCTGCTCTGCCTGTTAAAGCATGTGAATGGAAATTCATGTTAGTGTGAGCGCTAATGGAAACTAATATTGGTGCAAGCAAAGCAGGTGCAAACTCTAAAAGAATAACCGTGTTCTGAGCTATGTATGTGATGGTTCTCGCTAAGAGAGCAGGATTCTTTCTAGTCTACGTTGCTTAAAATATCCCAAAATCTTCCATGGAAACTAACCATAAAAATCTTACCTGATTTGAATCTTGCATATAAAATATACCATGTCTATCACTCCAGTGATCTGTACAGTCTGCTATTTTGCCTTGTGATTAAAAAGTGTTTTGTTTTGTTTCAAAGTGCAGGTTGCCAGTTTTATAAAGTATGATGAAAGAATTGTGACCCCTGCAGGTGATCAGCTGATGCCTCGAAAACCAAAATAAGTTTGTGTTAACACCTGACTCTCTGAAGAGAGATGGAACCCTAGTTCCATTTTTTTTTAATTATCCTGAAATTGTCTTTCAATTCTGGCATCAATTTTAGCTTAAGTTTTGCTTGTTTGTTTGTTTATGCCTGCTATTTATCACCTCTCGTTTTGCTTTATATTGCTGCATACCTAATTCTATTGATGATCTTTTCCAAAACACTAAAACATAACAACTTGTCATCATATAGAAGAAAGCATCAGATTTGAATTCGATGGCAGCTTGTTCTTCTGTTATTGTTAATGAACTGGGCGCCCTCAAGATACTTCCTTTGCCAGGCTTATGGCATGGGTTTTCAGCCCTGATGAAAGAGGCAGTCAGAATCTCAGGAGCACATTTTAATGCCTTCAGTCACATCTTTTTGTTGTTGCTTTTCAGGATTTAAAGGTATTCACTGTGAGGAAGATATTGATGAGTGTCTGAGCAATCCCTGTGTGAACAACGGAGTGTGTCTCAACAAAGTCAACCGCTTTCTCTGTGTCTGTCCTCCTGGTGAGTACTTATCTCTGCAAGTTCTTCCTGCTGCAACTTACCAAGAATTGATTGATCAGCAGTGAAAATATTTCCTGCAAGTGTTGGCTGATAGTGCCGCATCTCTTTGAACAAGTTAGTTGCAGTCATTTGCATTGGTAAATGAGAATAAACATTTGCTATAAGGTTATGCCCATAACTGAGCAAGTGTTGAGGAATATATAGACAGACATCTCACATTAGAGGATGGTTGGCAGCAAGAGCTTTTATTATTATGAGTATCGTAATGTCATATAGAGTAATATTTATTAAATATGTATTAAAAACCAGAACTTCTGTATATTTTTTCTCTGTGTTTGTGGTTGATAAGCAGAAGCCATTTTCCCTCATGATAGCTTGTTACTTGCATGAGGAGGGAGGTGAGTTAGATTACCTCCCCCGTTCATGAAAGAGAGGTAAATGTTGAGCTGAGATATCAATGTTAGCTATAGAGTAAACATCCCTTGTGTTCCTGGAGGCTCACAAAAAGTTTTGAGATCATAATATACTTGCCAAAAGTATGCTCTGCATCCTTTCTTATTGAGTTATTCTGGCTTTTATCCCATTTTTTTCCTGTGGTTCTTTCCCTCAGGAAACATTCCTGAAGCTTTTGATTTTTTTTTTTTTTTTTTTTTTTCCTTGAAGCGCCTAGATCTGCATCATAAGTGACATAACCTACTGACAGTTTATTGACTATTTCAAGATATGTATTGAAGGATACAGAGCTGCATTGTGCTGCATGCCCCACGCTGCTGTAGCAGTTCTGCTCTGGAGGCTTTTGCAATGAATACATTATTGTTCCTTGCCTATCACTTGCTCTGCTGGAATTTTTTCCCGCTTTATTTTGCTGATGGCCTCTCCGTTTCTTGGGCAGCGCCGTGGACAGCAGTGGACACCATTTGTGCCCCTTGTGCTTTCTGTTTGCATTGGCCAGCTCTGTTTTCGTGCTGCTCCTGCTCCTTTGACCTGGAAGAGAGGAACTGTTTTGTCTGGTGGTTTCGATGAGGAACCGATCTGCCCAGGGTGTGGTGCTTGTGCTTAGTGATGCAACCCCGCTTAGATTTACTCATCTTCTCTTTGGGTGGTTTGAAGAACTTGCTAACACATAATTCCTGATGGTGCAGCTGTTAGGTTGACACCTCAGCTTGCTCCTGGATTTTCATCTTTTTCTGCCTCGCAGGGTTCAGTGGCGCCGTGTGCCAGATCGATATAGACGACTGCTCCAGCACGCCGTGCCTCAACGGAGCCAAGTGCATTGACCATCCCAATGGCTACGAGTGCCAGTGTGCCACAGGTGAGCATCCCACCCAGAGCCCCCGGGCTGGCCGTGGCATCCAGCCTAAACCCAGCTCCAAGTGTCAGCGTCCACTCTTTGAAAAACTTCTTGTCTGTCATAAAGCTTTGTCTGCTCTTGCACTTAATACAGAAACCTCTCACCTTGTGGCAGCAGCAGCTTCTCAGCTGATGAGAGCTCTGGCCTCTCTCCTTCAGTCCCATCTCCTGTTTCCCAGAATGTGGCAGCTGCTTCTGCAGTGATGATGGGATCCTTGAATGGAGATACAACAGCATGAAGCCTTTTATCTGTGGCCTTCCCTTCTTTATTCTGGGGTGGTATATGCGACTCAGTTGCCGAACAAGAGATGGATGGTGCCATACTGTCGTATATTCTTGTTTCTGTTGCTTCAGAGTGTTTCATATCAAAGGTGGAAGGTTTAAGTCCACTAATAAATAAATAAATGAGTGCACAAGAAGTGTTGCACAGTAGCCACCTGGCAGAATGTGGTTTAAACACCTTGTAAAGCATCATACAGAAATGTTGACAGAGGCTGTGCTTGGAATTTGGGTTTTTGAAAGCACTTAATTCCCTCATTCCTTGGTTAATTATATGTTAGGAAATGTCAGGTGTAAGTATAGGATTTTCTTGACTTTTAAACCCCGAGAGCAATGCAGATATATTTCAGCTGTAGCTTTTATATCTGGTTAGATAAGCAAGTGTAGGCAGTTCGGAGCTGTTAATTCTTTAATTCTCCATAAGGATGTGGGTGACTTTTGGTTGCTTTCAGTTAATGGTGGCTCACGATAAAGGTTCAATGTGAGCAGCTGTGGAAAGCACTGGCTTCAGCTCATCCATTCAGGAAGAGGCTGAACAGTTAATGGAGCTGCCTCTGTTCCAGAAATGTACTGTTTGGCTGGTTATGTTCATGAGCATTTTTTCTCATTTTGAGTCATTCCAAAATCAAATTGTTAAAGCAAATTAGTTTGGCTTCAGTAACTTATTCTTCACTGTTCAGAATGTAACAGAGGTTAGCCTAAAATTCCTCCTTATCCCCCTTGCTCCCAATAACGTGCCTGCAAAACAATGAACACGTTGCAAATAGGAGACTGAAATAGTTCTAGTTGAGAGGAGTAATTGTTCTTGTTAAGATTCTCCTTTTGATTACAGTGTGTGACAGAATAAGCTGACACTTGCAAAAAGAAGAAAAGCTTAAGTCTGCCCTGAACTTGGAAGCTATCTTAGAAAGTCTTTCTCAAGCTAGTGTGTGGTCTGGTTCCTTTCATTCACTGCGAGTGCAGAGCTGCTTTATTAACTCTTTGCAGCACTCTCTGGGCCCAGGAGAGCCCTGGGTTGTGCAGTGGATGATAATTTTTGCTCTAAAGACACAGGAGAAAATGCTCTGCTGAAGGCATTGGCAGGAAGAGGCAGCTCTGGGTCCAAGTGCTGATGATCTGGAGAGCTGCACCTTGAAAAGCACATTGTGAGTTAGGACCCAGAGCTGTTTGGGAGCCGTCGAGCTCCAGAAATTCTGCACCTCCCAGGAAAGGAGGGAGTCCTCCCTCCACAAAGGCACATGGTATATGGAGCATTTTGCAGGAACAGGCTGAAAGCAACCAAATGTATGTGGGCAACTTGTGCGGCAGCTCTCAGTGACATCCTTGGTTAAGTGCCCTGGCTGGAAACTGTGCTGGGAGTCTGTCCTGGGGCTTCTTTCTGTGCGCTCCATGGGACTGGTTTAGTCTGTGTTCTCCAAGAGTTTTTTCTAGACTAACTCTGCAAATACAGAATTCATTGTGGAGCAGCTCACTTGTAGGAAAAATAATGTTTGGTGTGTTCTTTTCTATCTCGTAAACTATGAGTAATTTGTGTGTTCCCTGAATGATAACCACCAGCTGCAGAACTGATTGAAAACTGCACAATGTTTGGCCAATTGCTGTACCGATAGCTCTATTTACTGCTTGCTTTTTGTCTTTTCTTTCCCTTCTGGCATTACTCCACTTCTCCTTCCCAGTGGTAGTTCATGGCTTTCCCTTTCTTCAGTTGGGTTTTCCCTCCTTTTCTCCCTCCACCCTCTATTTGGTTTATTTGGTTTTGCCACTGTTTGTCCCGTTCTCGTTTTGTTTTTCTCCCTTCCCTAACATTCTTATATCTGTTTCCCTAACTAGCTTCCCTTCCCTCTCCCCACCTCCTTCTACACCCTTTCATCCATGCATACGTTCGCAGAGCTTGGAAAAATTAGCCGTCACCTGGTATGTTTGACCAGAGAACTAGCCACAAACCTCTATGAGAAATGGGGCGCCTGTTATCCACTTATATTACTCAGGTGAGAATTACTCTTCAGCTGTTGAAATTCCCTGCAGCCCGGTTTGTATCCGTCTCCAGCTAATGCTTGGAATATTAAGCTCTACCTGCCTTTTTTTTCCAGCTGCTGGAAGGCAGCACGAGCTCCATATCCTCACGTCTCAAAACCACTTCTCTTAAATTGTCCCTGTTTCATAGAGCTCTGCCCTAATAGGGAAAACAGGACTCTTAAGGGAGTTGTCTGCTGTTTTAATCATTCCGGATTTTTTTTTTTTTTCCCTATTGGAAGCCCTCCCATTGAATATAATCTGTCCTTCTCTGTTGCTCAGGATGTTTCCCAGCTGAAGCAGAATGAAACGGGCCAAATCTCTGCTTGTTTCATTGCTTGTAAGTGAAGAGGTTGCTTTTGTAAATGTGCAATTGGTGCATGATCGGTGTTTTTGAAAGGTTTTGCAGTGAGAGGGACAAGAGACTTTTTTAATAAGCATTTCCTGCAGAAACTTATGATGTGAGCCCAAGAAACTCCCTGGGGAAAGTTTCTGCAGCATCTTTGCAGTAATTTCCTGTAAGGAGATGGTCAAATCCCTGGGATTGTTGTATAGAGGGAATAATGACAAGAGAATGCCTTCAGATAGTGGCTACTGCTGCATGTAAGTAGTTCTGGTCGTGATTTGTGTGTTCCCTCTCCTTGCTGCTGTGTTTCGAGTATAGCAAAGGTAACTGCTTCTGATACCAGAATCCTCCGTTCAAAAACTTCTGTAAAATGCTGTGAGCAGTGGAAGAGTCTGTTGTTTTCCAGGGCTGGGAAGTGGACAGCAGCTGAGATGCTCACATACCCTTTGTGCTCTGTATGCTCCTTTGCTGATTATTAGCATGATACTTTCTGTGTCTGCATTTACTCGCTTGCAGCATCATACCACTTCACCTTCCTCACTAAATTATTCCTGCTGGTCGTTTTTCCGTAGGTTTTGCTGGCCTTTTGTGTGAGGAGAATATCAACAACTGCGATCCTGATCCTTGCCACCACGGTGAATGCCAAGATGGGATTGATTCATACACGTGTATATGCAATCCTGGCTACATGGGAGCCATATGCAGCGAGCAGATCGATGAATGTCACAGCAACCCCTGCCTCCACCAAGGGCGCTGCATCGACTTGGTGAACGGCTACCAGTGCAACTGCCTGCTGGGCACTTCGGGTACGTAGGGCACAAGGCGGAAGGATTGGATTCTGACAGAATTCTAGCGTTTAATTTAATTAGTTCATATGTCTGCTCTGGTGTATGCTGAGTTTGCAAAGAGAGGTGGGCTTGTGCTGTGAGCGTAAGGAGATTGCACTTTCTTCACATGCATTTTGCTTGCTGTGCTTTCCTGTGTTTGTCTGGACTGTCTGTTACTGGTACTGCAGCCAGTTTTGGAAGGATTCACCTCCTCTTTACCCACAAAATTCAAGCCTGCAGATGTATCTCTTGAACAAATAGGTCTGATACTCAAAACGGTTTATGCCTTTACTTGAACACTGATTGACAAGTTCAGTGTCATAGTCAGCAGCCATCAATCCAGGTGACCTTCCTCAGTGTCACACTGCTTTTGCATCATCACCTGAATTAATTGCACCAATCCCTGTGTAACTTCAGAGCAGGCGGAATTCTTAATTTGGATAAATCCCTAGCAAAAGCTTTGTTATAACATTTAGCCCTCTTCTGACTTTTTTTCAGGAGTAAACTGTGAAAATAACTTCGATGACTGTGCAAGTAACCCCTGCGTTCACGGGGACTGCATTGATGGCATTAATCGCTACAACTGCGCTTGCAAACCTGGATTTACAGGTAAAGTCAGTTCCTTAATGGCTTTGAGTTGTTCTGAAAATAGTTAACTTTTCTCATAGCTAAAAAAGCTACTTTTTGTATGCTGACTACAAGGGTTTTGGCTAGTATCTCAGTAAATCCTTCTACTCTTTGAATCTCATCATTTTACATTAAAGCCAAGTTCTATCATGCAGAGGAATGTCCTAATCTGTGCTGTGAAATGACATTCTTGTTAGGTAGTAAAGTCTAATTCATGGTTCTCAGTTTTATAGGAAGTAAACTCTGTGTCTTTGGTGGTTTGTTCATAGTTTCTTTCTAGAGAGAGGGAGTACTCAACAGTACAAACAGGTGTGTGTTTGAAAAGTATCTTTGGTTTTACCACAAGTAGGGTTTCTCTTTTTGAGAGTGAAAGAAACATTAATTCAATGTTCTAGTGAGTTCTTTCCACTCTCAAGTTTCCAACCAAATAACCTTTTTTTTTTTCCCTCCCCTGTAATACTATTTCATAATGTCATCTCTTTTGTTTCCCCTTTAAATCATAAGGACTTACGTAATATTGTACAAACAAGACTGGAAAAAGAAACTTTTATGCCCTTTTAGATTGGTGCTCAGATCTGTAGATCTACAGCAGGACTAGTTCTTATGACTAAAACATTTATTTTTATATATATTTATAATGGATATAATATGTTTTGAACCATCTTGGGTAATATACTCATAAAATAATTATTTCAAGGCAATCAGGGCTGTTTCTGACAGTTTTCTGATCATGAGTGTTACTGTTTATTACTGAACGATTCTAATTAGAATCGATCTGAAATAATTAGAAGCAGCAGTAAGATGTTGCATGCGTCATGTGTGCCTAAACCTCCTTCCTTTGGCTCTGGCATGGTGGTCCTGCCCAGCTCAAGGGCACTTTTCCTTTTGGCCAACTGCAGTGTTTGTTGTTCTACTGGACTCCTTGCTGCTACACTCTTAAAATATGTGGTAATTTGATGAATTTGCATTTTTCAGGCATCAAAGAGCAGGCATGCCTGGGATCTCATTACATCTTTCCTTAGGCTCTGAATGCTTCTCAACTTGCAGCATGTAGTTTTCCAGCCCCACAAGATCTGATGGTCACTGCTTTAAGGACACAGTAAACAGAGGCTAGGCAAAACAGGAAACACTGTTATTTACATATCCTTTTACGCAATAAACCACAAGAACTATATTTACTGCAGAGGGTAGCAGTATGGTTGTTCAAAGGGTAGCTGCTTCAATGCAGAAGAGCAGAGCTGTGACGAGTGGAGCTCGGGATTGGTTCCACACATGATACAACAAAGTGATTTTTGTCTTCCTATAATTAACTGGTTATTATTAGTGGAATTCTGTTTAGGTTCTTGAATGATCCGTAAATTTATATATTTGTTAAGTATAAATGCTGTTTTCCAGGTCTTTCAAAAATGTTTCTGTTGGTTTCAGCTGAGGTTGAAGTCACTCTTGCATGCACAATCTGTCCCTCCACATTGTTTTCACTGGACTCTCTCTCAACTTCTGTTCTTGCAAACATGCAAAGTCAATGTTTTTACAAATACTGTTTAACAAATAATATTTTTTGTAGGCCCACGGTGTAGCGTGGATATTGATGAATGCACATCCAGCCCCTGCCACAACGGTGGAACGTGCATCAACGAGATCAACGCCTTTCGCTGCGTGTGCCCTGAAGGCTACCATCACCCTCACTGCCAGTCCCAGGCAGATGGCTGTCTGAGCAATCCCTGTGTACATGGCAACTGCACGCATGTGGCTAGTGGGTAAGTTTTGCTCTCGCATTTAATGCCTTGAAATCCTTGTTTCAGAAGTAGGACATGAGTATGAATATTGATAAGGCAATGGTTATGCCCCCACCACAAGGCCTTTTGAGGTGGGTGCAAAAGCAAATCCAAACTGAGGTGTAGTTTTGAAAATGACCACTTGATCGTGTGAGGAGGACACTGTTAAGCATATTTGCAAACTGATTTTTTTTAGCGTGGTTTCTTCTGTGCCTTCCTGGTGCAGTGCTAAATGCAGCACTGGCAAGTAGCAGAATCTTCCTAGCAGCCTGACTTCTTAAAGATATCCATCTCTGGCAAAGTCAAATTTGTCTGCTGCTTTGTCATTTTTTTCTTTGCTTTGCCCAGAGTTCACCATTACCTCGAGGCTTCTGATTTTTCCTCTAATTCCTCAGCTTAGGATCAAAATATATCCCTTGCCCATGACACGCTCACAATAAGCTGTAGACTTGCAGTCACCAGCTGCGGTCTGTGCTGTTTCCAAGTCGTTGTGTTTTTTCTGTCTCTGCTTTGTATTCTTTGCTGCTGCATTCTTTGTCTTTGGGCATGTAGCAAGGGTGGTCTGCCACCATCAGAAGGACAGTTCTGTGCCATCCAAGTAAGCAGAAAAGGAAAATAACTTGGGTCCACCTTTTGTGTGTGTGTGTGCAGCAGCAACCTACTCTATCAAACTTGAAAACATGGAACATAAAGGCTGTCATGTCTTTGGCTACTGCCTTTTAGCTACCCAAAAACTGTGTTAAATAACAAGAAAATAACTTTTTTTTTTTTTTTTCATAGTTTACTGTGAGATGGAGAACAGCATTAGAAGGTCAGCTGGGGAAAGTTCTGGTTAACAGCCAGTTAGGAGGGAGTAGTTAACAATACCTTATCTTCAAGGATGGCAAAAGGAGCTCAGTAGGACAAGCTGAGGGGAAGGTATAAAGTAAAAAAAGCTCATGGCTTTCCCCAGTAAATTTATTTAACATTTTGCACAAAACAAAAACAGTCAGCACGTTTCTGGGGAAAGCATTCCTTCCTGAGCAGCCCTTTGGAGTCCGTGGATTGGTGACGTGCGCCGGCCTCTGGCTCGTTGCTCTAGCAGCTTTCTCGAGATCAGGTTCATTGCTGAGCAGCGTCCGCCTAGTGCAGTTTATCTGAGGCTGATCCCATCAGTTTTAGTCGCACTGGTGATTGTTCCCAACTGGGCAAGCCGAGTGCTGAGTTCAGGAGCCTCGAACTCTCGGATAGGATTCAGCAGTCCTCTGGAGACCATGGGAAGCCTGGGAAGACGGACTTCTATTTCTAATCCAGCCACCCCCTAAGCTTTGAAAAAAGCCTTTGGTTTCTTTCGTGGGTCTCGTCGCCTGCGCTCGGGTCTATTTGCACCTTGTGCTGGGTGTTGGATAAAAATAAGACTTATTTGCAAGGGCAGCTCCGCGTGTGGCCGAGCCCAGGGTGACTCGGTGAGCCCTCGTTTTAGTCTTGTGGGTGGAGGGCGGCCCTGCTCCCGCTTTTGAAGCACCAGGGAGTAAGTTGCTGCTGCTCCCAGGCTGCTGTCTGCCTGTGTAGCCACTAGTTTTTATTAAATCTAGATGCCTTTGGAATCTATTGTGTCCTCCCACCCGGTCTTTTTTTTTTCTGCATGTCTTTAAATGTGTTGAGATCATCTTGCTGAGCAAATACATGTTGTAGGTTAACTGAGTGCTTTGTGAAAGTTGCAGCTAGGTGGGTATCATTTTAATGACAGGTTTATTTTCAGTATCTTGGGAAATATTGAAAATATTGTTGATGTAAGTAATGTAAATGCAAGTTAGGACTCTCTTAAAGACGAGTCTTCTGGTTTTCTCTCAAAGACCATGTGCAGGAGAAGGTGCCTGGTAGAAGAGTTACTCAAGAATGCTCTAAAATTGCTGCTCTTTTTGCTTTTAAAGGTACAAGTGTGTCTGTGACCCAGGCTGGATAGGAGATTATTGTTCAACAGAAGGGAATGAGTGTAAATCAAACCCCTGCCAGAACGGAGGAACTTGTGAGGATCTCCTGAATGGCTATAGGTGCACGTGTAGGAAAGGATTCAAAGGTGAGAATTCAGACAGAACCTTCTCTCTGTATCTTTCCACTTGATTATACCCTTATTGTCACTAATCTTTTCAACAAACCTCATGGAAATAGGAAGGAAGAGGGAAATGCCTTGTTTAGATGAAGTTCAATTATAGCTGGTTTCTTATAGGCAAGTTGCAGTAGTAGAATGCTTAATAATATCATATTTAATTTTTTTCTTTATATTCTTATTAAGAAATGTCCTGGTTGCACTTCAGCTTGATTTACATTATAAGAAAGTTTAACTGAGCTGTATAAATGCATCGAGAATTGAAGGGACATTAACTTGCAGAAAGTTTAATGCAGTTTAGTTCCGATTAATTTTCCAAAGTGTGGAAACCTCTTAATGGGGAAGTCCAGAAAAAATAACACTTTTTTCAGATAACATTTGTTTAATATAAAGTATTGCAATGTGATAGGTTGATTTAGGGTGAAAAAAATGCTACATTTGCTTGTGGCACTTTCTGGAAATGCTGCCGAAGGTTTTCCATGGTGGATGAATAAATCAGTAGCCGTGAGTTCTTGTGTCACTTGGAACTACCACGGCTGCCCTGACTCCTTTCTCCAGCTGAAATTTCCCCAAAACTGGAAGTGCCATCCACTGCCTTGTAGGATAATCCTGCAGGTTGCAATGGCTGTATTTGTCCTCCCAGGAAAGCCCAGGTTTTTAGCAGGATGTTTCTCCCCCTCTGCTCTCCAGGTGTGAACTGCCAGGTGGTGGTGGCTCCTTGCTCCCCCGATCCGTGTGAGAACTCGGGGATCTGCCAAGAATCCCCTGACTCTGAAGGCTACACGTGCCTCTGTGCCCCTGGCTGGGAAGGTAATGTGGGGGGCAAGGTAAATGTGGGGGGCAAGGTGAGCCGTGCTGGCACAGGGCATTGTGGTCATTGATGCAGTTGGGGGATGCAGAGAATCCTTAAGGTTGGAGGGACCTTTAGAGATCACCTAGTCCAACCCCCTGCACACACAGGGTCACCTAGAGCAGGTGGCACAGGGCTGCATCCAAGTGGGTTTGGAAGATCTCCAGAGAAGGAGACTCCACAGCCTCCCTTGTCAACCTGTTCCAGTCTTAATTCCGGACTCTCCGTGTTTCAGGCGAGAGGTGTACAGTGGACATTGACGAGTGTCTCTCCAAGCCCTGCAAAAATCATGCTCTGTGCCACAATATTCAAGGCAGTTACCTGTGTGAGTGTCGTCCTGGCTTCACCGGAGGAGACTGTGACAGTAACATTGACGACTGCCTTTCCAGTGAGTACGAGTGGGCTCTCTTTCTTTTCCCCCCCTTTTTTTTTAATCTTTTCCCCTTTTTTAGAGGAAACTTTGATGTACTGGTGCTAACTATTGTTTGAGAGATACTTGAAACTGTTTCTTTTTAATGCCTTAAAAGGAAAAAAAGAAAAACTGAACTTCTGAAGTTTTGCTCATTTGAGACAGACAGTCTGTCGTATTTAGCACCTATAATTGGACTGACGTATCCTAACTGATAGTAGGAGTTATTCTCAGATTCTTAAGTCAGAGCAGTCCTTGTAGTTTACATACTTCAATAAGCAACTCTGGTAAATGAAGACTTTTTCAAAAATTTGCCTGAAATTTTAATATACAAAGTTAAAGTGACATTGCAGGGTTTGCAGGTATTTCAAAGGTAAGCTTGGTTGAGGTGTGGTGGGAATACGAGGTATAGACATTTCCTGAAATGGCTCTGTCTGAAATTCATGTTCTGGGAGAAGAGTATCTGGTTGCTGTTCCAGTTAATCCATGTTTCAAAGCCAATTAAGCAGCAGGAAGGCACTTTTATTCCAGAGTCCCAGTTACATTAGAGTAGGCCAGATACAAATATGTCTTGAAATTATCTAAATTATGAGAAAGTTTGTTAAATGTTTTTTTTTTTTTTTTTAACATTTTATATCATGTGCTTGACTGCTATGTACACAGGAAACAAAATACATAGTAAGTTCTTTTTCTTACTGGGCTCGTTCTGTATAATCATCAGATAAAATCAGGGTTCCCTGAAAATGTCATATATTTAAAGTTCATCTGTTACTATTTGAAAAGTCCTCTATGAAACCTTAGAGTTGCACACACTGTCGTATTTTTGTAATTGGCTGGTTCTTTAAGCGGGGGGGGAAAGAGCAGAAAGAAAAAGGAGTTGTTTTTACTGGAGTATGTAAAAATGAACCCCAGTTTTTAAGGCTCTGTGTATGAAGTGAGAGCTGTATTTTTGCACTGAAGAAAAAATACAATTGTGACTGCTATATAGAAAGATCTGAACAAGTACCTAAGTAACAGTTGTCCTGGAACATCCCAAAAACAGCACTGATAGAAGAAGTTTAAGGTTTCTGGCTTTCAGTTGCCTCTTTCTGAGCAAACAGGTACAGTACAAAAAATGTCACTTCAATTTAGTTCATCTCTCCAAAGAAGTAACTGAAGTTAAAGTCATCGCCAGTCCTGCTTGGTTTGGTGTGGATGTCTGAAGCCATACACATTTTTGAAGGGTTTGTCATCCTCTTTTTAACAACTAGAAGATTTATCTCCATTCCTCAATGTGAGATTCATCCCGTGTCATCTGTTACACAGCACACCCATGAGGGTGAAGAAGAATTTCAGATTACTGAAATTACAGCTGATTTCAGTTAGCATCACAGAGCCCCACCACGGCATGGGCCAAGTGCCTTTAATCTAGGGAGCAAACAAAGCCACCAACAACATGAACTTACTGACGAGTTGGTTCTGTAGTCTGCTTTTTCTGTCAGTAAATGTGCAGCACAGAAAATTAATGCACAGTTTTTGGCTTCAGTAAATGGCTGGCTGCCATAGGCACAATACAGTATAGCTGCCAGGGCTCTCTGCTTCAATGTGCTATTTCTCTGCAGTAGTCAGATGACCTTTAAGTGCATGCAGGTGTCTCTTATAACACAAATTTTTGTCATGTGAATGTATTTCTGAGTCAGTAAATGAGCTTTAATTACCTTTCACATCTGTTTATCTTCATGTATTCGTGAACTGTATGATCTTGTACTGAGGTTGAACCGCAGCCTTCTTTTTGTTGGAGCTTATTTGCATCTTTTAAAATATGCTTTTCAAAATATTACTGCATAAAGATAGTCACAGATCAAGGAACTTCTAAGTAACTTCTTCCCCCTTCCCGTCTCCTGTCCCCTCTTTTTCTCCCTCCTCCCCATTCAGCCTCCACACATGCAGAGTAGAAGAGAAAACTCTTCAGAAGCAGCATCTGCTGAGGGAATGTGGGCCTTAAAGCCAGAAGGCAAAATGAGAAGCTATGGAATGACTGTGATCTTTAGGGTTGGTGGGTAGCTGTGGGAGTAGGAAAAGTGCAGTAGTTATCCATTAGTGGTAAAGCTTTGGGGCAGTCTCTTCCATAAGTGGATCAGAAAGGTTTATCAGTATTCTGTCATTCTCTGGGCTGTGGAATCCTTGGGGTGTGTGTTTTTTTTTTTTTTTTTTTTTTTTTTTTTTTAACACTTTTTTCCCTTCCAAAAATCTACTACTCTAGACCTGACCTTTCTCTGCTACCGACTTTGAAACTTACCTTAATGAAACTTACTCTGTCTTAGACCCTTGCCAAAATGGAGCTTCGTGCGTGGATGGGATCAACTCTTTCTCGTGCATCTGCCTGCCGGGATTCCATGGAGATAAATGTCAGACGGACACCAACGAGTGTCTGAGCGAGCCGTGCAGGAACGGAGGCGTCTGCACCCACTACGTCAACAGCTACACCTGCAAGTGCCAGCCTGGGTTCGAGGGAACCAACTGCGAGAACAACATTGATGAGTGCACGGAGAGGTGAGATGAGTTTGCTGCGCTGGGGTGCTGAGGAAGGACCACATAGGGGCTAAAGTCAGCCCTAGTGAGAAGCAGAAATTAAAGATGAGGATCTGTTTTTCTGTCTCCTGTAACCGAGACATACTCAAGCTTCAAACATCTGCCTTGTGCAGGGTGCTGGCCAAAGGAGAGCTGCCTGGCAGCTTTGGAGGTCTGTCTGCAAGACCAGCCATTAGCCTAGTGCCATTCTAAGAGGAATACGACAGTGTTCAATGAACTTGTTAGGAGGTAACAGATGCTACCTTCAATAACTTACGTTTCGATAGGAGCGTTATCACAGAGAGGAGGGAGAGGAGCAGATTGGTTATGAACAGTTACTGTGTTGAGAATTACAAATTGTGCAAAATTGGAAGCAATAACCAACCTTCAGAATCACAGAAAAAATAAAATAGCCAAGCAACTAATTCACTGCAAATAATGGAAACCAGAAAGTAGGAAAGGAGGAAGAATTTGGAAGATGTGAAGAGGCAACGAGAAGGAGCATAAGCACCACAAAGTCCGTAGTAGAAAGGTGTAATCAACAGAGATCTTTTAATCATGACAAATTGGATATGGGTTAGCAAAGTCAAGATAAAAAATAAATTCTTTTTAAGAAGGAGATGTGGATCTGAGTTTGACAGTTTGTTCCCCAAAATAATTGCTTTACTTACTACCTTTTAAAAATGCTCTGAGAGCTCTCAGTGGAGCCCTCATCTTTCTGCTTATTTATTTTTAGAATGTATAGGATTCTTGTATGTAGATTTAGATTCACAAACAGAAGTAATTTCTAATATATTTTTAAATATATATATATGTTTAAAGTGTATATATTTCAAAAAAAAGCTAATTAAATTGTCTGATCTGTTCCAATGACAAGAAGTGCATGAGGTACATAAATGTAAAGCTCTTGCTATACTCGTACATTTTCCACATGCAAAGAAAAGATTTCTTTCTTATCTCTTATAAAATTGCAGTTGTGGAGGTGGGAGCGTTTAACGTCTTTTGCTTAAGAACCTAATTGTGTCACTGATGAGGGCGTGTTTGATTTGCACAACAGTTTAATCAAGAGAAATAATCAAGTTTTAGCAGGACGCCTGCTTCTCCCTTAATGTTCATCCTGTTTTTGTTTGCATTATCAGTCAGGGCAGAAACCAGTCGTGCAGGTATGAGTGTAGGATGTAGCAATTTTCAAAGCTCTGCCAAGTTAATCCTGTCCCCTCCTTCTCAACCAAATTTTGCTGAGCTGCAATTAGCGCCGTGATGGTTAACGAATTTGAATGGAGTTCAAATGATTCTTCCTGGTCACGTGTGGGATTCCTCCTATGAGCAAGTCCATCTTCTCTTGGAGATGAGAACCTTATTGCAGGGAAATGTTCCAAGTGATTGATAGTTCCTTTCTTTTTTCCCTTGTTCACCAATGTAAAAAGCAGGTTTTGCCTCTTATAAAATAGAATTCAGCCTACAAGGCAGAACAACAACACAAATAGATTTTTTTTTGATACTTCTACCATATTCACAGTTAAAATTCAGATTTTTAAAGCTTGTACCTCAGGCTCAGAGAGATGAGTCAGTGTCTTCTCCCTTGGAAATACCCTTTGACAGTGCGTCAGACCGGTGACAGACATGAATCCATTTGTGTTCTTGGTCAAAGCAATTATCTTGAGAGTCTGATCTAGGGTTAGTTTGAGGAGCAGGAGTTTCTTGCCATATGTTTCTTGGGAAAGAGAAACTCTTGCAAGTTAATTTTGCCTGAGGCTTCATTGCCACTGTCCTTTCCTCAGAATTTCTCCATAGTGCATCTTCTGTAGCAGGATTTCTTATTACCAAAATGTTGGGGCAAGGCTGATTCAAATGAAGGAGCTATTGGGATATGTGAGTTTTTTGTTTTGTTTTCTTCTTCCCAAATTAAGGACTTTACTGAGGTTTTGATGAGAAAAGGAGGAGGAAGAGAATTAATAATATCAGTGTAATCACTTAATTCAGCAAAGAATATGGTTGTGTTTGCATGGTCTGTGGACCACTTCCTTGAGAAAACATGCCTTGGACTCCTTTGAAGCTGGAAGAAAACTGTTTTGCAGCTGCTTTTCCCTTCAATTTATAGTAAAATTGAGGAGACTTGGTGCAAAATTTATTTGTTTGAGCAAGCCATGCACATACATGGTGCATATGTGTTTGTGGTGACAGACGCTGGGAAGATTTTATGAAGTGAGAAATCACCTCAGTAAGAAGTGACTCACTAGAACCCTGGTCTACTTTCTTTGCCTGAAAAGATAAAAGACAATAAACTTATCCCATTGCTTTGCCATTGTCTGGTTTATGACTCTTTGCTAACCAGCGGGGAGATGATCCTATAATCTGCTTTTCTGCTGCATTTCAGGGATGTCTACCTGCTGGCTTTGACCATGAACCACCTGCGTTTCGTGTCCGCTCAGTGTTGTTCTCCTTCTCTTGCAGCTCCTGTTTCAACGGAGGCACCTGTGTGGATGGCATCAATTCCTTCACGTGCCAGTGCCCAGTGGGGTTTACAGGATCCTTCTGCCTAGTGGAAATCAATGAGTGTGATTCACACCCTTGCTTGAACAGAGGCTCCTGTGTGGACAGCCTGGGGACGTACCGTTGTGTGTGTCCCTTGGGCTACACTGGGAAGAACTGCCAGGTGTGTGTTGTTCTTCCCATGCCCATTTTTCATGGGGGGCTTGCGTTTGAACTACAACAGTGGAAGGTACCAGATATAAGATGTGGTGTGGAGCAGATCTCTAGCACAGCAGAGCTCCTGTTCCTTCAGCTCTGCTCTACTAGTCCACAGAAAACCTGGTTCAGTGCCACTCCGTATCAAAAGCAGGTGCAAAAACTCTAGAGTGCAAACTCTAGAAAAGCAGGTTCAAAACTCTAGAGAGCAAGCACTGACTGCTAGGTGCAGTGAAGAGGACAGCATGGTTGCTTTTGAGGGAAGGAGTTTTCTAGATGAGTTTTCTAAAAACCACACACAGGTGTTAGCTCTGAAAATGGCCGCATTTCATCTGAAGCATAAAACTGTCCTGGTTGCAGACAAAATCTTGTGCCTACAGAAATAGGCACCACTTGAATGGAAGAATTATGTCTAAATGGTCTAAAGAAATATTCCACTTAAATGGAAGAATATTGGTCTGACTAGTAGGACCTTGATTTAACTGCTATCTTTCGGGCTGGCAGCTTTGGCTCACAGGCATCAGTTCAGGTGTTTATGAATTTGTTCTTAAAGTGCTTGTTAAAGATTCATGTCATTTGGATTTTTTTGCAACAAAGGCAAGAAAATTGTAAGAATGGGTTATGAGAGAACCCATGGGCAATCGGTTGGCAACCCATTGACAATGTTCCAGTTTCCGTTTTAGAACTGATGCATCTGATTTCAGTCTTGATGCTCAAATCTAAGCTGAATTTAAATTGTGAATTTTGGTGTATCACAGTGGAAGTAGAATGCTGATGCCATTTTACAGATCTTTGTTATTCTGTGGTTATGAAAACAGCAAGAACACTTTAGTGCTGTCTCTAGCTTCGGATCAGTAAGCACTGACATTGGCTTCCTTCCTTAAGCAGTCTGACTGCTCTCGTTCGACAAAGAAACCTATAAATGCCTTAAACTACTGGAAAGCACTACGGTTTAATGAGGGTTTTGCAATTGTCCTTCTTGCTAACGTGTCTGTGCAGCATGGGGTGCTAGAGGAAGGGTTACATGGGGATGGAGGTGCTTTTTTGGGGGGCTCTGCTGGCCACTGAGCTTGTCAGGTCTGCTTCCAGGTATTGCTAAGGGAGGAAGTGGATGCAAAGTAGTGAAGAATAAAGAAAGAGCCCCTCAGTTGGCCCTAATTAGGCATTCTGGACACACCACTGCAATCTCGCTGGGAGAACTGGCTTTGAGAGTGGTCTTAAAGTCCTGGGAAGCTCAGGAGTTCCTCCTGTGTTGCATTTGCATTGCTGTTACTGGAGAAAGGGATTGATGTTCCCCGAACTAAGTGTGGATTCGAAGAGAGTCCACTTGTGTCCACTTGTTGCGTTTGGAGGGAAGCTTGGTCATCTTGTGTTGCTCATTTTATACGGGAATGGGAATTTTCTTAGCTTATAAACACCATTGAAAGCTGTATTGGAGTGATTTATAAATTACAGCTACACTGTAGTTCTGTCTCAGTGGTAATCTGGCTTGACCTAATTAGCACAGCTACGTAAGCAGAACAAAATTGGCCAATGATTCATAAGTTATGGAATTTGCATGTAAAACAGTCGGCTCCTCATTACACATGCAGAAGCAAGAGGCTCAGTGCTTTCCTTCTTCACACTCAGATTCATGTGATAGAACTTAATTCCAAGTTTCTTAGCTGCATGTGAAAGCACAGATTTTTTTTTTTCCTTTAATCTTTGTGAGGAGACAGTTTGCATCTGAAAAGCAGAACTTTCTGCAAGTGGAATTGCATTTACAGCCCAAATTCAGTTCCCTTGTCTTTAAATATCTCATCCTTCCTTCACATCAGCTAGAAATCAATCAAATAGCTGAATTACTTTGGAGACTTAAGTGGCAGAAAGGAAATGATGGTTAGTGGCTGGCTCGTATTGGGTCAGAGAGTTACTCTGAATCCTCACTCCTCTTTCACATGATGATTTACTAAGAGAATTTGAGTCTTTGTCAGGATGCTTTATGAAATGAATGAAGCAGCTCAGTGTACTCTTGTCCATCCTCAGTTTATAAAATGCACAGTAAGGTGTGGAATAATCCTACTCCTGAAATGGTGCTGCCATCTGAGGCTTACTCCTCTTTGCATTTGCTCTTGCCTAGGTGAGTGCTTGAGCCCGTCAGTGAAGCCCTTAGTTTGCTCTAGGGAAGTGCTGCCCCTTTCTTTCCAATGCCACATGGAACCAGCTCTGCAGAGCCTTGTTTCCTTTGTGTGTTTCTTGAATTTGTGCTGAATAATGTTCCCAGCAACTCGTCACGTGGATTTTTTTTCTCTCTCCAGACACTTATGGATCTGTGCAGCAGGTCTCCCTGTAAGAATAATGGCACATGTCTCCAGAAGGCTGCCCAGACTCAATGCCTCTGTCCCTCCGGCTGGACCGGGGCTTACTGTGACGTGCCCAATGTCTCCTGCCAGGTGGCAGCTTCACAAAGAGGTAAATAAGACTCTCTACCACTTCAACTGAAAGCATTTCCAGTGCATTATTCATCCATTCCTCCTTTCCTCATATCCATGTCCATTCTATGCACACAGCGTGCATTGGAAATCCTGGAGAGCCTGCCCTCTTGGAAGTCATTTGCAATCACATCAAAGCTAGAAAAATCTCTGCGAGTTTGTTATGGAGGTCAAGACTCTCTTGAATAAGAAACTAACTCTTACTATAAAAATATTTTTAAAAGAAAAAAAAAAATCAGTCTTTTCTAAAGTCTCAGTTTCAGTATGGTTGTTCCACATGAACTGTCTTTTTGTGAAATGCTTCAGTTGTTTTTATGCTTTTATAATAAGTCCCAGGCAGGCCAGATTTAAGACATGCTGTCCTTGCACATGAAAACTATGTTCTAACTTAGTATCTTTCCAAGCATTTTGCCAGAGAATAGGCGCTCCCAAATCCTATCTCTGACTGTAGCCAACACTGTGGGCCTCCAAAATAGTTATTTCCATTTTAATCCACGTTGATGCTAGGTGTTTTTCACCCGTTCACTCACTGTACTGAACCATTTTTTTTAGGAGTCACAGTCCACCAGCTGTGCCAGCACTCGGGCCATTGCCTCAACGTTGGAAACACGCACAGGTGCCAGTGCCGCGTGGGCTACACGGGCAGCTACTGCGAGGAGCAGCTGGATGAATGCGACTCCAGCCCGTGCCAGAACGGAGCTACCTGCCGGGATCACCTGGCTGGCTACCAGTGCGAGGTAAGGCTCAGTGCACTGGTAGCAAGAGCTCTCAGTACCCAAAAGGATTGTAATGCAGAGGCATCTCAAGAAATCAGAAACACACCTACATGGTAGAGTAGATGCAAGCAGAGAAAAAAGCAATCCATGCCTGGAAATAGTTATAATTTGCTGTAGCAGAGGCAGTGCTCCCAAGAGGCTTTTAAGACTGAATTAGAGATATGTTCATTAAGGGATAAGGTTGTAGTCGCTTGAGTTTCATGCCTCCTTAGAGACATAACTGTTGAGAGATCTCATAGCTGAGATACCTTTTAGTACACTATGTATGTATTTTAATATAAAGAATACATTGGGAGCGCCTTCCCCAAGAAGGAAAGGATTAATTTGATGTAAACCTTGAGGCAAAACTTCTACAGCGAGTGCAGTACTAAAATGTTCCAGATTCGATTGTCATAGGAATAAAGTCACTTTATAGGAATAAAGTTAAACTCTGTGCATGGTTAACCTGGGTGCTTAAGCTGTCTATGCAACCCTTGAAATGACTTGCAGTTGCACAACTACAAAGGAAGGCTAAATCTATCCCATGGAGAGTTCCTTTCCACTGTGATGGCCTTTTTCTTTCTCAGTTGGCTGCTAGTATATTTGTTCTGTGAAGATTATTCACACTTATTTTTATTCTGCTAGTGTGTGGCTGGATACCAGGGTGTCAACTGTGAATATGAAGTGGATGAGTGCCAGTTTCAGCCCTGCCAGAATGGAGGAACATGCATAGACCTCGTCAATCATTTCAAGTGCTCCTGTCCACCAGGAACTCGGGGTACGAAACTCTGCTGTTAAGTGAATGTTCCAACAGTGAATTTTCCTCTCTGGTAACTGGTTTCATGCCACAAATTCTACAGAGAATACATTATTTCCTGTGAAGAATGTTCCCAAAGTGCGCTGAATCCCTTGAGACAGATACTTGCTCTATCAAAATAAATACATATTTTTTAGGCAATGGAATCTCTGTCTGGCAAAGGGCTTTTTTTTCCCCCTTTTTGTTGTTTTTGTTTTTAATGAATAGATCACGACAATGCCTGAATGCCTGACAGTAAATACGAGGTTTCTTTTTAGCTAATATACTGTTAGCTGTGCAGAAAAGTTGCATAGTTCTTGCATAATTTCCAGTGCCCTTTACTCTTTTAAACTTTGGTCCTTCATTGTCCTCAGTCCTGGAGTCTTCTGTGGAGGAATTCTGTGCCTCTAGGGTAGCTTATTCTATTTCAGCAAGTTTGAGGGTTTTTTCTCTCTTTTTAAGTCCACAGTAGTGGTTTTCAGCAAGTATGATTCCACAGCCTGTTCAGTGTCATTTTTCCTGAAACCTAACCGGCCATTTCCCAATTACATCTGACATTTGCAAATACTGAGGATTGCACAGGTCAGATATTTTTAATCCATCCATCACCAACCGCTTTCTTGCTTGATTTTTTTCCCCCCCCTCAGATTTATTCCTCAAATCAGTTAAAGAAAAATCAGTAAAATAACAAACAAACAAAAAAACACTTCAGATGAGACAACATACATGTCAGGTGGAAGTAAGTTCTTAGTTCATATCCTGAGAAAGATTATAATGTCATTAAAAAGTTTGCCTGCTGCACACACATTATTAGCAGTTTAGTGTGGCTGCCAGCTGATCTCTGCAATCTTCATAAGTGTATTTCTTTGTAAGTCGTTGTGAGAGCAGTTCTTAACATACTGTTTTTATTAGAGATTCCAGTTAAAAACATATTTGCTTCTAGTGTCTCTACATCAAAGTATATATTTATGTACCAATTTCTGCAATGCTGGGATGTTTTTTACTGTGCAAAAGCATTTCTTCTCCTTTTGAATAATCTTTGAAGTTCTGAAAGTATTTACTTTAGTTCTTCCATGTCTGTGTTGGGGTGAGTTGCTTCTTGGAATTAATTTTGGGTTTTTTTTGTTTGTTTGCTTGCTTTTATGTAAGGAATTAGCAGAGAGTGATTTCAGTGCTTATGATATCGAGAGTTAACTTTTGTCACAGGTTCAGTTTGAAGCCCGTAATTTAGAAAACTACCACGATGACAGTATAGACATCCTTTATGTGTAGGTGGATGGTTTTCTCTCCTCCTTCTGTTTGCCCTCCCCTCTTCGAGAGAAATGCCTGTTACTGGTTCTCCATTTTGCTGTGTGGCTAAAGCAGAACCAGTAACAGACATTTCTTTTGAAGAAGAACCCTGTAAAGAGAGTTTCTCGAGATCCCCACGAGCCAGATGTTTCAAGTGGCATGCTGGCTGGGAATCTGTGTTTTGTCACAGCTCTTTTCTTCCCGTTGGTTTGTTGTTTCTTGTCATTTTAATGATGATGGTGATGATACAAATGCCCTTTGTGGAGTTTCTGTGTTAGGGCTAAACTGAATGGATGGTGGGACGTTTGCAGCCTTGCGAGAGCCAGCGCAGGGCAACTGGCTGCCTTCAGTCACAGTGAATTGAGAGTATCTTTTGTTATTGTTTTGGTTGTTGTGTTTTTAATTATGCCCTTAAATTAAGTCAAGAACGACAGCTACTGAATCCCAATATAACCTAGCATCGAGAACAGCCTAGCTCTGAGACACATGCTCCTTGGGTCCAGTTTGGGGTTGAGCAAGCGCACAGGGTATGGATTGAATTAAACCGAGTGCTTTACCCATTCATATCCAGCACTGTCTATGAAGCAGCCTTAAAACTTTTTGAGCAAAATAGGAAATGAGACCACGAGACACGATCCTCAAGCTGTTGCTTTTGCTGTTGCCAGGTCGCTTGTGCGAGGAGAACATCGATGACTGCGTTTCGGACTCGGGAGGACCCCGCTGCTTCAACGGAGGCCAGTGCATTGACCAGATCGGGGGCTACAGCTGCCTGTGCCCGCCGGGCTTCGCGGGCGAGCGCTGCGAGGGGGACATCAACGAGTGCCTCTCCAACCCCTGTAGCCCCCGGGGGAGCCTGGACTGCGTTCAGCTCGTCAATGATTATAGATGCATCTGCCGTAGTGCTTTCATCGGTGAGTATTCACAAACCCGCTTCCAGTTTTGCACTGATATCATGAGAAGTGGTCAGTCTTCAACTTTCTGAGAATCCTATCATCTAATGCCTTCCTTGTACAATACCTGATTGTTTCCCCACAGTTTGTCTCAGTTTTTAAACCCATCTTTAGAGTTTCCAAAAGATGAGTCTTCCAGAGTTGTCCCAGACAAAGGAATATCCAGGGACACCTGACTGCCAGCATTATTTTTCCTGTTTTTATTTTTTCTCCATATTTTCCCACTTCTAATATTGGAAGAATAACTGTTTATGTGTCAGCTTCTCCATAGTCTTTCCTTTGGCAAAGCAGCATGTGAATTTTCTCTATATATTAGTCTCACAGTATTCATAATTAGTTTTTGGCCTCTTTTTCTACCCCTTACTCCCTTTCTGCCTTATATTAGTGATGTGATCAGGATGGAATATTCTGTGCGCAGAGAGATTTTACATTCCTAGCTTAGTGATGTGATCCTTCCACAATCCAACTTTGCTTCACAAGTCTTCAAAATTTAATTCTGTGCAAACTTTTGCCTCATCCTCTGTAGATCTCTTCTTTGTTAGTATTACTGTTATTCTACTTTCTCCCTCCCACTGGATATAAATTTGGGCTAATAGTCTCCAGATGTGTATTAGCTTTCAGCTTTTGGGTTTGCGTGTCAGTTTAACGTATATATTCATTTTTTTTCCACTGAAACTTTTCACTTTCCGTGCTTACCAGTGGGCTTTCCTGCATGCTTCACTAGTACTTTTTACTCTTTTTTTTCTTCAAAATGTAAAGATGCTGAGATTATTCCCTGAATTTGTGGTTGTCAGATTTAAAGATATCATGATAACACAGTGCAGCTGAAGAATGCATGTGGTGGTTTTCGAATGTCAACTAGATTAACTGGCACATGAGGTTTCTAAAATGGCAATGTATGGGGAAATTGGAGCCAGGATAGCTGGTGGGCTGCCTGCACTAAATATTAGATGGTTTCTGTGTAATCCCCTCTGCGAGGCATGCTTTTGAGTTATGCTTCATATTGCTCCTGGCTGATTCAGGAGGGTTGCTGGAGCCTGCAGCATGGGGAGTGCAGACCTTGGCCTCCTTTGGCCTTTCCTCCTTTTGGCCTTTCTCCTCCATGAAATTGTCTCTTTGTCTCTTCTGGCCATCGTGTGGCACCTAATGTTACTTCTAGTGCTGGTTGGTGGGTTCCTTGTCTCAATATCTCCCTTCTACTAGTTCTTCATTCGCGGTTAGGGAGTGATTTGCCTTTGGCCTTGCTGAGAACCTCCTAGCAGGTGCAGAAGTACTAGCAAACCTGAAGCCCATCTTCTACGGCACGTTTAGCCCCTGCACGCCAGGTGTCTTGGTGACAGCAATACCTGCTGTCCTAGCGCTGGCTTGTCCAGCCAACAGTATATAACACAGGAACATGTTGCATGAGGAGGTGACCTGCACCATTGGAGGAAGCCCCTCTGGAGCGTTGCCTCACGGGCTACTCAGCAGCACGTTTGGCTTCGTGGTGGCTTTGTGGCACACGCTGACATGGCTCTGCTTTCTTCCCCGTGTCCCAGGTCGCCACTGCGAGAGCGTGATAGACGTGTGTCCCCAGAGGCCGTGCCAGAACGGAGGCACCTGTGCCGTTGCCAGCAACATGCCCGACGGCTTCATCTGCCAGTGTCCCCCGGTAAGTGCCACCTCCTGCCGTGTCCGTAGCTCTGCCCCGGCTGTCGGCTTCTCCGCCTGCAGTGACATTGCTTCCACTGGGACGCTGCAGGTAGACTGCTTGTTTTCTATCCGACCTGCACAGATGTGTTCTTGGGCACTCTTCCCACGTCCTTGAGGTTTAGGTTGGCATCTACTTAGCTGGGGAACCCCAGAATTTCCCGTGCCCTAGAAGAATGCCATTGGCTATTGCTACTCCAAAAACACTTTGCTTTTGAGGCAATGCGCATCATTTTTGCCGTAAAACCAGTATTAAATCATTAACAGGCTTTTTGCTCTTCAGTGTTTGCTGTTCTTACTGCAAGATTACCCCTGTTCAAGGCTCTCCTAAGCCCCTTCCAAAAAGTAACAGAGCCTTGTAAGGTCTCTTATTTATTATTACTTAAAGGTAGTTTATCCTTGAGGCTAAACCCCAAAAAGCATGACGTGCTCCTACAAAACGACTAGAAAAATTGCTGTGAGGAAAGGGTTTGCGCATGTGATCTTGCTGCTGGCCCTCAGAGCACTGAAGAATAAATTTGAGCCTATTTTTGTTTTTTTTTCCCCTTCTTTCTTTCTTTCTTTGTCCCTCGCCTCCTCCGCAGGGTTATTCCGGGTCAAAATGCGAGTTCAGCAGCCACAGTACGTGCGGGCAAGTGAAATGCAAGAAGGGGGAGCAGTGCATCCAGACATCGTCCGGTCCGCGCTGCTACTGCCCCAAGCTGTCTGCGGGAGAGGAGTGCCAGACGCGCAGCGGCTGCGCCAGCGTGCCCTGCCAGAACGGAGGCATCTGCCACCCTCGGTCCCAGCCTCCCTACTATCACTGCCAGTGCCCCGATCACGCCCAAGGCAGCCAGTGCGAACAGCTGGCTCATCCCAGCCAAGAGCCCCTGGGGTGCTTGGATTCCCACTGTGCCGAAAAAGCGAGGGATGGCTATTGTGATGAAGACTGCAACACCCACGCATGCCAGTGGGACGGGGGCGACTGCTCCTTGACCATGGAAGATCCGTGGGCCAACTGCTCCGCTTCGCTGCGCTGCTGGATGCTCTTCAATGGGCAGTGCGACGACTTCTGCAACACGCCCGAGTGCCTGTTTGACAACTTTGAATGTCAGCAAAATGGCAAGACGTGCAAGTAAGGCTGGACCCTGGGAGCTGTCTCCTCCTATCACTAATACATCTCTTGCTAATGCTTGCAGCGGCCGCTTGCTTTGTGTATGTTCCTCCTCTCCCTTTGCTTGTTTTCTGGTGCTGGTCTGTGCTCTTGCTAGAAGTTGAGCATCCATCAGTTTCCTTTTTACGTGCTTTTCATCTGTTTTTGCAAAGAGCTCCTGGAATGTGTTTGTTAGGAGCTAAGTTGATACCCGGAGCAACAGTAATGTGTTGACCTGCTTGATGGACCTCTCTTGCTTTCTGTGGGAATGTAAATAGAAGGCATTCCACCTTGAGCTGGATCCTGATAGTGCTGCCTCCCATCCGGGAATCCCTCCACAGTTGCAATGCCTGTGTCTTTGTCCCAGGTGTATTTCCTCCCTCAGAATGGATGTTCCTGCCTTTCTGTCATGGCACTCCCTTCTCTCCGGTCTTTCACGATAAACACTACAGCTTTGCTGTGATCATTGCTGCTTGATGAGACAAAAGGTTTTAGAGCTTCATCTCAGTGAATAGAATAAACAGTCTCTTCTACCACTAGCAGGATTGAAGTGGAAATTCTGCATGTCCAGTTTCCACTGTACCCATTCTCAATCTGTGTCCTGGCATTATATATATATATATATTTGTATATATATTTATATATATTTTTATATGTATATTTAAATCCTAAATGAGAGTGTTCTTGGCCTTCCACTTTAAGTGAGAATGATTAAGAAGTGATGAAAGCCTTGTATACTAATCTGCCAGCCCCTCGACACACTCTGCAGAACGCGTGTATCCTCCTGCTAACTGAAGCCCTTTGCCTGTTGTAGGTACGAYAAATACTGCGCCGACCACTACGCAGATGGCCGCTGTGACCAGGGCTGCAACAGCGAGGAGTGTGGCTGGGACGGCCTGGACTGCGCGGGCGACAAAGCGGAGAAGCTGGCCGAGGGCACCCTCATCATCGTGGTGCTCATGCCCCCCGACGAGCTGCTGGGGGACGTGCGCAGCTTCCTGCGCACCCTAGGGACCCTCCTCCACACCAACCTGAGGATCAAGCTGGACTCCCAGGGCAACCCCATGGTTTTCCCGTACTATGGGGAGAAATCGGCGGCGCGGAGTCGGCGGTCCCTCGGGATCGTTCGCAAGCAGAGGGAGCTGGAGCAGGAGGTCATTGGGTGAGTTGGGTGCCCCTGTGCCTCTCCAGCCTCGTTAGGCAGATGGATGTTGCGTGTAGGTGTGTGAGTGCTCTGGGCCATCTGGGGCTGGAGCCTTTCTGGTTTGCTACGGGGGAAATTAGGCTGCCAAATTCAGTGCTGCAACGGGAGGGTTAACCTTCAACACCACAATTCAGCTTTGCGATGCTTTTGACGAGAGCTGCTTTTTCCTGGTGCTGACTTTGTGCTCTGTTACTGCGTGGTTGCAGCACCAGGGTGTTCCTGGAGATTGACAACCGTCAGTGTGCCGAGGACTCGGAGCAGTGCTTCCACAACACAGAAGCTGCTGCAGCGCTCTTGGCTGCCCAGGCCATCAAGGGCATGTTGCCCTATCCCTTTGTGTCTGTGCAAAGTAAGTGATCTCAGAGGGAAAATGGTTTGTACAGGGAGGCAGGCGGGAAAGGAGCTTACAAAACGCACGCTCAGATTGTTAATCACCTTCCTTTGCCTCACTGTTCAGTACAGTTCCTGGGAGATATTTATTTCATCCCATCAAAGCATGCATGTGCACTGTGAATTCTGTGAGGGGACTTTTCCTGCATTGTTAATAAGGCAGGTCATATAAATATGGAGCCTAGTCATTTTAGTACATGTAGAAAACTTAATCTCTCACAAGCTGCTGTGGTTTATCACCACTCTAGTTGCCTTACCTGCCCTAGAAACATTTTGTGTGTTCCAAGCCACAAACTGAAGGGAAATGTTGCTATTAGAGAGGAGGAAAAGGGGGGTGCAGCTTAGTCTTCCAGATAGGTTTCCCTTGGTGCTGGGTGTTGCTTTTGATTTCTGTCCCACACCATAGGTCTGAGACTGCGATGCAGTTTCACACTGGATTAGTAATATCACTAGATTTCTAGATGGGAAAGAACACATGTAGATCAGAGATTGTCACCTCAACTTGGCTAATCACCCTGCGTTTTAACTTGGATTTTCAGGTGAACCATTAATGCCACCGAAGACCCAGTTGCTCTACCTACTTGCTGTGGCAGCCTTGATCATCCTCTTAATCCTGCTGCTGGGCGTGATGATGGCGAAGCGCAAGCGCAAGCACGGCTCGCTGTGGCTCCCGGAGGGCTTCATCCTGCGCAGGGACCCCAGCAACCATAAGCGCAGGGAGCCAGTCGGGGAAGATGCAGTGGGGCTCAAGTAAGTCTGCATTTGGACTGCTCATCACCTGCTCACTCACATATTGCAGGATTTTAAGAACATGGTTTACAGATCTTTCATTAAAAGCACCAACTCCACCAGAATATCAACCTTTTAAACTGAAACAGTTTAGTGTCTCTCTCAAAATTTAATATTTCCTTATTAGACAGAGGAATCTTAAATAACCTTAATCTATAAAATACCAGTAAGCAATCCAGTCTTCTGATTACATTTGGTTATTTGATGCTCTGTTTTGTTCAGAGGTTGGGTACTTTTTGTTGCGTGATTTCCTCTGGAATTAGGTTTGACATTCTATAGTTCATAGGTGAAAATGAACTTTTTAATACTTCCAGCTCAAAGCATGGAAGATGTGACTCAGAAATAATGGAAGTAATGGAAATTGGGATTTCAAAGAATCCTATTTGTGCAGTTTTGACTTTTCACTGACTTATCCAAGTGTACACTTCTAAGTGTATTAATGCCACTTTTGGCTGGCTGAAATTAATGCAGGGAATGAACTCTAGTTTTCCCAAACCTGCATGAAATCAGATATATTGTGAACTAGGGACAAAGACTTCAAGGATATATCATTAGCCTCAAAAAGACTTTTATTTCTAAGTCCTTGTGAATGCTGGCTGAGCCTGCCTGTCTTCTAGAAACTGGTCATAGGTGTTAGACCCCATCTGCTGATGCCATGGTTGATATTTGCAGTTTGAAACTGCAGGATCTCAAAGCTACATTGACTGGATGGGCACCACTGATGTGCGTTATACCTGTTGTCATGCACCAGCTGTGTGACATCAGTTTCCATTGAGATCTTAGATGTTCCTTTCTAATTTCTTGGTGCCTGTTTGCAAATTGACCACACCGGCTGCAGCCCCTCTCTGCAGACAGTGATGGCAGCCCCTGGCCAGCTTGCAAAGTGACGTGCTTTCCTCTATTAGGAACCTGGCAGTGCAGATCCCAGAGGGTAACCTGGCTGACTCCGGACCCACGGAGCACTGGGCAGGTGACGGCGGACCTCAACCAAAGAGAGCAAAGGTAGGAGGATGCCTGCAACAGACCCAGCTTATCCGTGAGCCTGCTTTGGTCTAGCAGGGGAAAACACTGCATTAGCCTCCAGGGTCCCACTGCCCAAATCCTGCCGTTGCTCAGGTGTGTGTTAGGTGTAACTAAAGATATCCAATGAGCAAATGCTCGGGTTAGCACAGCCATGCTGGGCCTGTGGAGGCAGCAGGTATGTTCTGTTCCCATGTCCCCTCCCTAGCTGGGTCCTGCTGTACCAAAGGGAAGGGTTAATAATGTCTTGCAGCTCAGGCCTGATTCTGTATAATGGGAATGGAAAAGTTAAGAATGCCAAACTGAGGTAAATGGAGATCTTGGTTTAACATCTTTGGAGATCTTTAAATAAAAGCATGGAAATGTGAGAAATTGCAGTGGCTTTGGCTGCTTGATCACAGAATCACAGAATATTCAAGGTTGGAAGGAACCTCTAGAGATCATCTAGTCCAATCTTCCCACTCGAGCAGGCACACCTACAGCATGTGGCACAGGGCGGCAGCCAGGTGGGTTTTGAAGACCTCCAGAGAAGGAGACTCCACAACCTCCCTGGGCAGCCTGTGCCAGGGCTCTGTCACCCTCACAGTGAAGAAGTTCCTCCTCACCTGGAGATGGAACTGCCTGTGTTTCAGCTTATGCCCATTTCCCCTTGTCCTGTCGCTGGCTGAAGCAACTTATTTCGTTCCTGTGCTCAGGCTGAGGACCAGGCCTTGCTGCCGGAAGGTGATGAGCAGGTGGATCAGCGCCAGTGGACCCAACAGCACCTGGAGGCAGCAGACATCTGTGGAAGCACGTCGCTCGCCCTGACTCCCCCTCAGGCAGACCAAGAAGTGGACGTTCTGGATGTCAATGTCCGAGGGCCAGGTCAGTGCTTGTGCTGCAAGCTCGCCTGGGTGTGCAGGGACAGCAGCACAAGTTCTACAGTACTTGAGGAAAGCTTGTATAGAGTCCAGAAAAGAAAGCTGGGGAGGTTGGACCATGGTCTGCAGCACAAGGAGTATCAGGTGAACAGGAAGAAGAGAATACACTTGTCACACAGTGGTAGGAAGTGGCTTGTGATCTCCTGCAGGACAGCACGTGCCTAAAGATGTGGTCAGAAAGACACTGTAGCAGAAAGTGGGAATGCACAGTTGTGCTGGAAATTATCTTAAACTTGTCCAGTTCTGTCATTGCCAAGATTTCTGCCATACTCTGCTGAGGGGCAGCTTATGAGACTTCACACCTAAAGTATTTTTTCCTGGGGCAGAGCAAAGATGACCTTTTCCTAAATAAGGAGACGTCTGGCAGGAAAGGGAGATGTTTTTTTTTCTGTGTACGCAGTCTTTCAGTTGCACCTATCAAGTGAACTTTATGCTTTACCGTCTAAGTTTTACCTCTACTCAGGGGCCCTTTTCTTGGAGGACAGCAAAGAGAAGAGGGTTTATACAGTGCTGCTTTCACCTTTGCCTCTGCAAGCTGTTCTTTCTCTGTGTCCCAGAGTGGTGAGGACATTCTTTTCAGTGGAGTTACTCTGAGTGTGTAACCAGGGTAATGCAATTATAGGCATAGCTGCTAACACCACCTATAATTAAAACTGATTAACTGTCCCCATTATATGGCCCTCTTTTTTTCAGTTGCTTAAACTTTAGTGGTTCAGACTGGAATTTTCCGTGCTGCATGTCTGCCTCCAGCTGGATCCTTTTGAATTCTTTTCCAGCTATTTCAGAGAACAATCCGAAGGAGGAAAAAAAAGACATTGTGTCCATGGCTTTTCTTTAATGCTCCAAGACCTGTTTAGTTGAGACACTCTAGCTGGATGTGCTTTTTTGCTCACTTTGTGAAACTATCCATATGTGGTCGGCTTATGAGATTCCAAAAAGCTCATACTTAAGAGATTTGTTGGTGACAGTTAACTTTTCCAAGGATTTTATGCTTGCTATAGCTGTATGTCCCACGGAGCCGCCCCATCGTCTGCCCAGGATAACGGCAGTGATTGATCAAGACCTTTCCTGCTTCTCCAGCTCCTGGGAAAGTGCTTTTCCCAGGACTGGGATGCTAGGGAGAAGGCAGGCTCCTCCGTCTGCTTCTTCTCTCCCCTCTCTTTATCGGCGAAGCAGAACGGAGGAGACCACAGCCTGACTTGCATACTGAGAAGTGTTCATTTGGGACAGGAAAGTGGAGCCAGCAGCGGGGGAGAGAAGCACAAAAGGAGGTGCAGCCTTGGGCAGCAGGCAAGAGGGGCCAGAGACGTGCCTGGATCTTGGAAGTGAACCCGGGCGCTTGTGCCAGCCCTTCTCTGCTGTCCAGCGACTCTGGAGAAGGTGGTTTGGTGAAAGGGCGATTGCCCTTCCCCATGGAGCCGCTAGGAGGAGCGGGAATTCTGCCGCTGCGGATCCTGTGGCTGCCGCCACCAGCTGCGCAGGTTCCCTGGGCTGAAAACACAGAGTTTTAGACCTCTCTAAAACTTTTGTAATTGTACTGAAAGAACAAGCCAGAAGAATAGAGTGATTAAAAAAAAAACAGGAAATGAGGATGGAAGGGAAGGGTGTTAGTTGTGTGTGTGGCACTCACGGGGTCAATACCCCTTCTTTATAAACACAGGCTGCCAGTGCCGTGATCACAGCGTCCTGCTTGCTGCAGGGCACGTTCGGTACGGACCGTGCCCTGCAGATTGAGCTGTGCGTGCAGGAAACTGTTGTCCAGGGGGAACAGCAAGTTCCCTGCTTAGAAATGAAGCAGCTGCTGAAAAATTGCCTTGGGCTGCTGCGAGCAGGCCACGCTGGGGGACAGAATTTATGTTGACTTCTGCAGAGCTGCCGTGGGGCATGCAGTGAATTTCTGGAGGCAAAATGTTCCGCTTGCATTTCCTTCTGGGCCCCACTGACTTTGTGGGTGTGTAGGATGGTGTGTGCAAGTTGAAGCAGCCAAATCAGTAAGCAAGCATCAGGTTGCAGTTGGAGTCGGTGATTGCAGGAGCTAGTGATGCCATCAGTTCAGAGTGTGTTGAAACTCGAACGCAAGCAGTGGCATCTGCTTGGTTGCTGAAAATCAGTGGAGGTGTTTTAAGCCTTAATTGCACTGTTTTGGGAGGGATATAAATAAGGGGGGAATTTAAGAGGGTGAGCTGATCCTCCTAGGCCTCTGTGGTCACGTTGAGAGGGAAGCTCTTCCAGGGAAGCAAAGTTAAACTAGAAGCGGCCAGAAGTCTGTCTGTATTCCCGTGCTGGTGAATGGATCCTGGGACCAGGAACCCTCCCAGCCTGAGATCAGCCTTTGTGAATATCCCATCGTGGAGACTTGAGGAGACAGAGGAGCCTGGTGTCTTTAAAAACACCCAGACTGGGGAGACTTCCAGGGATTGGTGCCATGAGCAGCTAGTGCCGGACGAAGGGGTGCAGGGGAACAAGGCGTAGGATGATGTAGCTTGTGAATAAAACTGACCTAGGTGCTGCTCCACAATCTCTTCCTATGCAGGGTTTCTGTGAAAGTACAGCATGTGCCTGGCTAGTTTGTTCAGTGCTGCCAAAATGGATGTCCTTGAAAGCAAAATGGGGTTGGTTCAGGCAGTGCTGCTGGTGCCTTTTGCAGCTTCTTAGAGTTTAATTTTCACAGCTTCGATGCCCTTTTATGTGTTACAGCCCTATAGCTTCATTAAAGACTTCCGTCTACATTTCTCTTCAGATGACTGTCTGCTAAATAGCAGCCACCAACAGTTTTTAAAAATCAATTGTTCCTTTTCCTAGGTGTGTTATCAGGGCATCCACATGAGTTGTCCTGTTGTGGTTGCAGTAGCTGCTAACATGCCGCTTGAAAGGAAAACAGGCCACTAATTCAGTTGGGCTTTAAAATACGGAGAACAGCCCTGAGTTGAAGCGTCTAGGGGGATTGTCTGTCCCTGTCAGGGCCCAGCAGCAGGGCATGGAATGCCTGGCAGCTCCCTCCTCTTTGCTCCCCCCGGCAGGTTGCTACGATAACGTCTCTTCCCTTGCAGATGGATGTACCCCGCTCATGTTGGCATCCCTCCGCGTGGGCAGCTCTGATATCAGCGAGGACGACGAGGACGCAGAGGACTCCTCAGCAAATATAATAACGGATCTGATCTATCAAGGCGCCAACCTGCAGGCGCAGACGGACCGTACTGGGGAGATGGCCCTGCACTTGGCAGCCCGCTACTCCAGAGCAGACGCCGCCAAACGGCTGCTCGACGCCGGCGCAGATGCCAACGCACGAGACAACATGGGCCGGACGCCCCTGCACGCAGCTGTAGCTGCTGATGCACAGGGTGTTTTTCAGGTACCGCAACTAAACAACTCCAAACAAATAATTTTCCAGGTGCTTAGTAGGTCTGTTTGTTTCTTCTGCTCTCACCCGTTATCTGTGTCCTTGCATTTTGGACCTCGTGCTGATATCTCATTGCAAAGTTTCTCTTGAGTTTGTCGTAAATCCTCAGTCTCTGTCCTTAGTAATATTGGAAAAAAAAACCTCTCTTCTCCTGTTGTGCAGATTTTGATCCGTAACAGAGTGACAGACTTGGATGCCCGGATGAATGATGGAACAACCCCGTTAATTCTGGCCGCGCGGTTGGCGGTGGAAGGGATGGTGGCCGAGCTCATCAACTGCCAGGCAGATGTGAACGCAGTGGATGACCACGGTATGTGGCATGATGGCCTGGGCAGGCGTTTGTCACGGTGTGAGCAAGGAGGCCTGGGCTTCTGCTCTTCCAGAGCACAGGCAGCTCGTGACTTATGTAGCCAAACAGGGCGCACAGGGTGTCCTGTGGAAGCTCCTGTCTGGTAGTTACTGCCTACAGACCCCTGCAAGAGTGGTTTGGTTGGATGATCCTGGAAGGAAAGGGAGAGATACAGCACTGGTTGTACTGGGATCTTCTATGCTTTAAATGTGACATTGTGGGGTAGGTTATATAAGGAAATCCTAAAACCTGTGCAGAGAGTCCCACCATATCTTGAGGATGTAGGAGTATGTGACAATACGATGACAACCAGAGCGTAAGCGTGTCCCTCAAGACATACCCTGCTGCTTAGTACAACCTTACTGAGTTGTACTATGGGCTCTTAGTGGTTTTTCTTCAAGTGTGCTCTTGTTGCCCATCTTGTTGCTTTAAAAAATAGCTCCTCGACTTGATACTGAAGTTGCTGGGTTTCCCTTTAGGTAAATCTGCTCTTCACTGGGCAGCTGCTGTCAACAACGTGGAAGCAACACTGGTGCTGCTGAAAAATGGAGCCAACAGAGACATGCAGGATAACAAGGTACAGTACGAGTGTGCCCAGCATGGCTGTCGTTTTTCCCTCAAATCATCTCCTTGTTGCAAGTGAACAAAGCCCAGAGTTTCTAAACTGAGTGCACAGCGCAGAGCTTCCAAATCCAGACCATGACTGGTACTTTCCTCCAATTTTGAATGATTTTTCTTTTTAATGTGGGAGAACAACTGCTATTCATATTTGGTGAGGTCCTGCACATCGATGTTGTGCTGCTTTTGTTGCAGAAAGGCATGCAATCAGCAGTCAGTCGGTGGGGTGAGGGTTGGAATGCTGCTCATGCTAAGCGGCTGAATTCTTTGTTTAGCAGAGAACCAGGTCTGGTCACACAGCAGCAGTCCCCTCCTGTTGCACTACGAGGGTCTCCAGCGCAGCCTCTCTGTTTGACAGGGAGTCTGCACTGTGCAGCCTCCTGCTGTGTCATTGCCCTAGGATGTGCTGTGTGTTAATGCTTGGTTTCTTTCCTCTATATGAGGTTTTGTTTTTTAAATATCAGGCGTTGCTCAGTAGATTTGGAAACTACACACAAGCTCCAGTTCTTCACTGGTCAATTTTAGTCCTTTGTGCCTCTGCCCTCATGGGAGATGACAAGAGAAAGGCACCAAGTGCTTTTCAGTTCCTCACAGCACCCATGGCAGGATGGTGCCTGCTGTCATAGTTTAACCTGGGTCATGTACAAACCCCCCAGACTCCTCCTGTAATCTGCCTTATTCAAAGATCATCTCCTGGAATAGGATGTTCCTAGAGGCAGTTAACAGTACACTGTGTTAGGACTCTGTTTCCATGTGTTATTGCAGCCTTGAGGGAGCATTAGCTCCAAGTTATAGCAGTGTGGTTCCCTCTAACTCTGGTGCAGCAGCGAAGCCGCTGAAATATCTGCTCTCCTTGTTTCCAGGAGGAGACTCCGCTCTTCCTCGCCGCTCGGGAAGGCAGTTTCGAAGCAGCAAAGATCTTGCTAGACCATTTTGCCAATCGAGACATCACAGACCACATGGATCGCCTGCCCCGGGACGTGGCCCAGGACCGGATGCACCACGACATAGTGCAGCTGCTGAACGAGTACAACGTAGCGCACAGCCCCGCGGGGCACCCAGGTGCCATGCTGAACTCTGCCCTCTCCCCCGTCATTTGTGGTCCAAACAGGTCATTCCTCAACCTCAAGCATGCCTCGTTGAGCAAGAAGTCACGCAAGCCGAACGCTAAGGGCATCATCCCCACGAACCTCACCAAAGACGCCAAGAGGAGAAGGAAGAAGTCCCTCAGCGAAAGCAAAGGGCAGTTTTCGGAGAGCTCCGTGACCTTGTCACCGGTTGATTCCCTCGAATCACCCCACGCCTTTGCATCCGAACCGACATCTTCGCCTGTGATGCCGTCACCGGGGGTGTTACACTCATCCCCCAGCTCGCTGCTGACCGCCCCGTCGGTGCCGGCCGCGCACACGATGTCCTTCTCCAACCTCCACGAGATGCAGCCCCTGGGACGCGGCTCCGGCACGGTGCTGCCGTCTGTCAGCCAGCTGCTTTCGCAGCACAGAACCACCCCTCCCAACAGCGGGCTCGGCAGGCTCCGGCCGCCCAACGCCTCCACCGAGTGGATGAATCGTATGGAGATGAATGAATCCCAGTACAACGAGATGTTTGGCATGGTGCCCCAGGTGATGCATCCGCACCCCAGCGTTTCTCAGCAGAGCAGCTTAGCTCAAGCAGACGCCAAACACTTGGGAGTTTCCAGGGAGTCTCTGCCCCCTATCATGACTTTCCAGCTGGTTCCCAAGGGTGGCATCAACCAGCCAGCACTGCCACAGCAGGCCCAACCCAACTGCGCCCAGAACATGGCCGGGCCTCTAAGCTCCATGTACCAGATCCCGGATTTAGCTCAGCTGCCCAGCGCCTCCTTCTCCGTGGCTGCCATCCCTCAGCAGGACGGGCAGGTGGCGCAGACCATCCTCCCGGCCTACCACCAGTTCCAGAGCTCCATGGGCAAGTACCCGACGCCGCCGTCGCAGCACAGCTGCTACTCCTCGGCCACGGAACGGACTCCTAGCCACAACCGGCACTTGCAAGGGGAGCACCCGTACCTGACGCCGTCGCCCGAATCTCCAGACCAGTGGTCAAGCTCTTCGCCGCACTCGGCCTCCGACTGGTCTGATGTGGCCACTAGTCCCAGCAACAGCCAGCGCGGGCCGGCAGCCGCTCACATGCCCGAGCAGCAGCGGAACAACATGCAGGTGTACGCCTGAAGGGCGGCCACGGGCAAGCCTCTCAAGTGGACTCCAGAACTCATGAAGGTCTTCCAGATGGAAATGAAGAACCGTTTTAGTATCCAAGAGTCTTAATGAGCCCAGGCTTTTCTTTTTTTTTTTTTTTTTTTCTCCACTGGAGGGACTGTGGTTGCCGTAGGCTTTTATGCTTTCCTAAACAGAGAATTGTAGAAGCTGGTGATGGAGAAGACCAGTTGGGTCACTTCTGACCAAGTCCCTACCGCCTAGGATGTGATTGCTGCCTCCACTGGATTCTCCAGTCTGCTTTTAAGTATGTCCCACCGTTTCCTCGAGGCGACAGCTCTTCAGCTTAAAGCATCTTAAGGTCATTTCTCCAGAAATGTAGCCAAAACCAGCTTTGTGTGTTTGTTACTCCTTTTGTTACCTACCTAACCTCTCTCTGAAGCACCTTCTACTAGTTCTTCTTGAGCTCAAGTTGCCTTGCCTTGACTCAGCTCAGAGCTGCACCCACATTCCTACACCCCTCTTCCTCGTGGCTCTTCTTGCTCAGCAAGCAAGCCAGACTTCCCGAAACACCTGCAGGTCAAGTGACTGGACCTTTGGTCATGCAGCCTCAGCCTTTCCCCTTCAAGAGCCTCTTTCTTATCCAAACCAGCTAATATCCAACTGCCCACACCCCGAGTATCCTGAGGTCATATATCTGTACAGTCTTCTCGTACATCTGTGTTTTCAAAGCCCTGGTGTGAGCTGGTCTTCCCTCGAGCAGCCTGTCGGCGCATCTCCTGTCTATCCGTCTTCCCTGAGAGGCACCGGGCCCTTCGGACACTACCCTTCCAGTCCTGCCACGTGTGTCTGGGACAGCCGTCGCCTGCTGCCGTATCGGAACAGATGCCCTGGGAGCAAAACAGGCTTGCTGGGAGACGCTTGGGATCAGGAGGAGTGCTTCCCATCCCGATAAGGCAAATTCCCAGCGTCGCTGCACAGAACTGCCCCTGCTGCCTCTGCGGTGTTAGCCACCAGTGCCAAGGGTGTCGATCGTGTTTGCAGGGTGTTGGTCCATGTCATAAAACCTGCGGTCTCGAGGAAGGGTGAGCAGCCCTTTGAAAGCAGCTGTTCCACTGTAGAGCTCTCTTGTCCAGCCCTTCCCAAGGGGAAGCTGCAGCACGGACGCCTGCTCAGGCCACAGGCAGTAGCGGCACCTCTAAAACCAGGAGCTGGGTTACATAGCAGACCAAATAGTTCAGAAGCCATTATCAGCCGCAGCTTGGGTGCCGGGTTTGGGACTGTGCTCTGCTCTCGTCCTGCATTAGGGCCTCCCTGCCGTGGTGGGGAGCACGTAGCATGTGCTGTGGGACAGCACACGCGTTTGTATTGCAGCTCCTGCTGTTATTTTTGTGGGGATGGAAACCAAGTGTTGCTGCCGTCAGGTAAAATGCTGTTGCTTCTCCTTTCCCTACATCCCTGCGTTACAAGAGTAACGCTTCCCTGAAGGGCTCTGGACGAGGCAAGAGTAGAAGTGCACATTTCTAGGCATGGTTTACTTCTACCTCCCTGGGGGAACCCTGCAAACGAGCTTTCCAAAGAGATCTGAGAGCTGTCGGCTGTGGCCAAAAGACAGAGGAGGCCGCTCCCCTCTGAGCAGTGGCTATTTAGCATCCTACCATGTACAGTATTTCTTTCCATGTTTCTCTTCATCGTAATCAAGAGTAAAGGGTTTTTTTTTTTCCTTTTATTATTATTTTTTCCTTCATTTGACTCAATGGTACATGAAGGCAGGGCCTCAGGGGGAGCCGGTTCCCGGGGCCATGTTTTTGGGCTGAAGTTTTTATCCTGCTTTTTTTACAACGCACACAGCATTCCCCGTCGCACTGGCCGCAGTGCGAACTGCGAAGCGTGGACGCAGCTCGCCCAGATTTCCAGGCAGGAGCCCTGCCGCTCCAGGAGGTCTGTCCAGGTACACCTTTCACTGCAAATAATCAGGTGTTGCTAAATCAAAGAAACCAAGGGCTTTGACGTGTTAGCCCCAAATAATCAAGTGCCTTTTTACGTGTGTGGCTACCATCTACAGGATGTGTGCCCTCTGAGGAATGAAGCCAGTTTCGTGCCTGGTGTGTGTTTAATATGATGGCCCTCTGCCTTATTATTTTTTTTAACTACTTGTAAAGATAATATCTCCTTAAGGTGGTATTTTATCTCGTAAGTCGTAGAGTAACCATTCACACAGCAGCATTTTCCTATATTAATAATGGAAAATATTTGCTTATTTTTACATTTTTTATAAAAGTCTTTTATGAAAATAGTTGCTGCAAAATGTATAAGCAATTTTTATCCCCCGAATAAAGAGTATGTGCCCGGCGTCTTTGTACTGCTCCCTTGTTATTTGTCTCCCTGGCACTCCCAGTACAACCACAGGATGATGAGGAGCTCGCTGGTGTTTTCTGCCTGTTGAGCCCCCTGCCCGGGGAGAACCTGTCAATCCTGCTGTGGTCTGGTCAGGAGGAACCTCAGGGGATCGAAGGAATGCTCTGCCACGGCTCGCCAGCCCATGACCCCTCCGTTTTGATCATCCCAAAGGAATTGTGCCTGGGAGCTAACAGTGAGGGGAGGGTCCTGGAACCCTTGGTGAGCTGTGGAGAGGGTCAGAAACCAGCAGCAGGCAGAGTGTGCTGGAAGGGACGGGGAACTGGGAGGTGGCCTCTTTGAGGTATCTGACCAAGAGCTTTGCTTGCCTGGGGGAGCTGGCAATGGCTTTGGGAAAGGCTGTGGGCAAGGGTGCAGGCAGGAGCTGGTGGAGCCCTCCTGTGCTCTCCCCTTCAGACCACGCTGCCTTTGCTGGGCCCTTGGCTGTTTCTCCAGCCAGGAAGCAGGAGCCTCGTCCCTGGAGCTGTGTCCAGCTTGGGTGTCAAGGTAAGGCAAGAAGGCATAAAGCAGGGAGGTGTAGCTCCTGGACCTGGAAAATCAGGGAGCAAAATCGGGGGCTTCATTCCTCTTATTATGGGCAGGGAGCCATCACCGCAGCCTTGGGCCTGGCAGGTTTCTGCCCTTGCCATGGCCCTGCTGAAGGTGGTAGCCAGGCTGCACCTCCTACCTGGGCTAGGAGCTGCTGCGAGGCATGGGGGGGTTGAATGTTCAAACAGCAGCACCCTTATCTTCTGGTAGAGCCAGCTCGGCGAGTAAATACCTGCTGGAGGCTTTCAGGCACGTTCTCCCACACGTTGTGCATCTGTGCCAAAGTTTAAGGCAGTTCAGAGCAGCGCTGCCTCCGTGGCATGGCTGTACAGAGTTTGCCTGAGGTGGAACCGGGAGCTGCTCCTCAAGGATGGCACCCGGACGCCTTCCCCTCTTGGAGGTGATCAAGGCTACCTCCCTTGGGGAGCATTTTCTTGCTTTTGGGTGCCGCAGGGCTAGAGGTCTTGTGCAGAGTCTGTCTGCTGCAGAGGCTGCTGTGGCCAAGGGGCTGCTCTGTGCAGGCTGGTTTCCTCCAGAAGCGCTGCTAGGAAGGTGCCAGGTTGGAAATGGGGCTTGGTCCTCGCCGATGACAGTGGCATGGCCGCGGCGTGGGCAAAGGAGCCCGGCTCCTTCCCCGGGAGCAGCCGCAGAGCTGCCCGCGCAGGCCCCGGCGCAGCTGCGTCCCGGGCTGCCGCGGCGCTGCGTGGGCGCCGCTCCGCAAGGGCTGCCAGAAGGGAGCCGCGGGACATCTCTGGAGGGCAGAGCGCTCGGGTTGAGCTCTGGAGCGAGAGGTGATGGCTTGGTTCACCTGTGAGCCCCCCTTCCTTTCCCCGGCTGCTCGTGTTGTCTGTCTTTGGGGGACTCCAGGGCCGTGCTGGGGGCAGCGCGGGGCCAGGCTGCTCTCCTCGCAGCGCCCGTGGCACTCGTCCCGTCCTGGTACCAGCGCAGCCACCATCTGTGTTGGCACGGCGCCCGCGCGAGCGAGCCTGGGCCGCGTGGGGCAGGCCGCAGCACCCACGGCTGCCGCCTTGACACCCCGGCCCGGGGAGCGGAGCCTCGGAGGGATGTGGGGAGCAGGGCCAGGAGCCACGGGAACGGCCGTGGGGCTGCAGCGCGCCACGCCGAGAACAGGAGCCAGGGAAGGGGCATGGTGGTGATGGCTCCTCCTTGGCCGCAGCAATGCCCGAGGGCAGCGGGGCTGGAGCAAGGGCACTGCCTGTGTGGGAACGGCCCGGAGGAGGGCGAGGGGCTGCTGCCCACGGCCCGGCCTCTCCCTGGGGGCCGCGATGACGGCACCCCACGTCAGCAGCAGGGCCGGGCGCCAGCTCCCACCGCCTGATAGCGCCGGCGGTGCCCGGCTGTTCCCCGTCCCCCCTGGCAGCAGCGGGGGCGGATCAAACGAGGCCGGCGTGGGGCTGACGCACCGTGGCACTGAGCGGGGTGTGGGGCAGCCGGCCTCCATCGGTACCCCAGCCTCCATCGGCCTCCCCCGAACGGCAGCTCCTGCGGGGCTGCCTGCCCCCTTTCCCAGCCTGTCCGGCAGCGGTGGGCGCGAGCGGCGCTCCTTGCCCAAAGCCATCCCCGTGTTTGCTTTCCCTGCGGATGCTAATTGCGGGGAAGGGGGGTTATTGACCAACTAGGAGGTGCTCTTCCTGCCTCCGTTAGAGGAACGTCAAGCGCAAACAGAGCCATCAAGATCTGCATTGCTTTCCAGGGAATGCACAGGGGAAGGGGCAGAGCTGGCAATAAGATTTTTATGATGGGAACTACCCGAGGTCGGCAAACAGAGCTGCCGCTCGCCGCGGGGCTATATAGGGGAGCTGCTCGTGGGCGCGCAGGGCAGGCGAGGCCGTTATTCCTCCCCGTCTCCCCGCGGCAGGTGAGAGGGGTCGCAGGGCTCCGGGGCAGCCTGTGCCCGAGCCCCTCGGTGGCTCCTGGGCCACAGCTGCCTGGGCTGGGCTGGGGAGGCTGCGGCAGCCAGTTTTGGGCTCCACGGGGGCTTTTGTTGCTGCCTCGTCGAGGGGAAGAGCTGCTGAGCTGGCAAGTGAGCCCGGGCCCCAGGGATTAGCCGGGATGCAGGGGAGCTGGCCAACGTGGCCGCCCGGGAGCGGGAGGGCTGCCTGGACCCAGGGCAGGAACAGTGCCCTGAAGCCCTGGCCACGGTGGCCCTGGCTGCTGCTGCCGCTGCCTGATCCTGCGCTCGGCCGTCCGTGCGGAGCACCGTGGTGGGAAGGGAAACTTCACGCTGTGCCCACGGGCTGGCCGGCACGGAGCCCGGGGTGCAGGGTCAGCGACACCCATGGGCCCCAGCAGCATCTCTGGGCACTGGAGACGTCTCAGCCGGCATCGGTGATGCTGGAGGCGTCTCGCCTGGCGTGAGTGACGCTGGAGACCTCTCCTGCACCCTCTCACGTGGCGTGGCCTCTCGCAGGGATGCCAGCAAGGAGGATGGTGGCAGCAGGCCGCATGGCGCTCCTGCTGCTGGGCTGCGCGGGGCTACTGCGGGGCTCCGGTGAGTCTGGGCACCGCAGGTGGGGTGCCCAGGTGACGGGTGCTGAGGGGGGCACCCCAGACAGGCTGCATGGGGCAGGGTGCTGGGGCCCCCACTGAAGCCCCCTGCTCTGCACAGACACTCGCCCCCTGCTCTACTGCCCCCCCGGCTGGTCCTACTACAAGCTCAGCTGCTTCAAGCACTTTGCGCAGATGCGCAGCTGGGACGAGGCGGAGGTAAGAGACAGGGGAGCCCCCCACGCGATGGCAGGGCCGCAGTGCCAGCCCCGGGCACCACCCCTGTGTGTCCCCCTCACACACAGGCGCAGTGCCAGGCCAGCCAGCCCGGCGCCCACCTCGCCTGGGTGCAGGAGCCGCGCGAGGCGGCCACCATGAGGAAGGTGCTCTCCTCCTACCAGCGCACGCAGCCCGTGTGGATCGGCCTCCGCCTCGGGCTCCAGGTAGGGCGGGATGGGGCCGCGCGGCGCCCGGCACCGGGGCCCGCGCACCCACCGCCGCTCCGCGCAGGGCCGAGGCTGGCGCTGGGTCAACGGCGCCGAGTACAGCGGGGCCAGCGGCATCGCCAGGAGCGGCGCCGGCAGCGGCGCCTGTGCTGCGCTGCCCAACGTGGGCGGTGAGTGCGGTCCCCGGCCCCCGCGGCCGCCCCAGCCCTGAACCCCCCCGCTCACGCGGCCTCCTCTCTCCCCGCAGGCTTCACCCGCTGGACTGGCACCGACTGCGCCCAGCGGCACTATTTCCTCTGCAAGGTGGTGCCTGTGCTCTGAGCACCCGCCGGGCACCCCACTGCCTTCCCCACCCTGCACTGGGCTTTGCCTTTTTTCACCTATATCTATTAAAAGGAAAATCATGGGCTTCTGCTTTTGTTCGTGTTAATGAGAGCCCCCCGCCCCACACGCAGCCTCACCGCTCTGCCCGCAGGAGCCCAGGCAAAGGGGCTGCTGGGGACAGGGCTGTCCCCAGGGTGCAGGTGTGGGGCACAGCGGCCCTGGGGGCACACGCCCTGGGACAGCAGGCGTCCCTGGGGGACAGTGGCCCCAGGGGCAGCTGCCCCTCTGTCCGCACGTGCCCCGGGGGCTGCAGCAGCAGTTGACAGCGGCCGTGGGACCAAAGGTCCCCTCTTGTGCCACCGGCGGTGTTGTCACAGGCAACACGTGGCTGTTTGCTCGGCTCCTGCGAGGGTGACTCTGCCTCGGCCCGACCCCTGGTTTTCCCCCTAAAGTCACCACACACGATGGGGGCACCCGGCATCTCGGAGCAGCACTGGACAACACAGGGCCACCCCAGGCAGCACGGAAAGCCGGGAGCCATGATGCAGCTCCAGACACTGGGGTGTGGGATGGGCTCCTTGCAAGCCCCCCGGCGCTGCAGTCTCCCCCGTCCCTGTCGTGTTGGCTGGTGCTGGGCGACCTTTGAGCGCGGGGGCTGGCGCGGGGCCCGGTGCGCCGATAAGGGCCCGGGGGGAGGTTATAAAAGCAGCGTGCGGGGCCGGGCGCTCGGGCTGCGTGTGCGGGGTGAAGATGCTGCGGTTGGTGGGCCGCGCCGTGCGCTGCTTGGGGGCCCGGCGGGGCGCGGAGCGGGCAGCCCCGCAGCGGGCACGGTGAGTGGGCACGTGGGGAGCCCCATTGGGGGCAGCCCTCCTTCCTCCAGGAACACTGGTGACCAGGGGGAACGTGGGGCACACATACTGGCAATGGAAAGCACGGGGTGCTCATACACACACATCGATGGCACCCCTTAAGTGCCTCCAGCGATGCCATCCCTGTCCCCACGGCGAGGCACCAGCGTGCGCTCCCTGTGCCCACAGGCTCTCCGGGGCGGCCGGCTCGGGCGCCTGGCCCAAGGACGTGGGCGTGCTGGCGCTGGAGGTCTACTTCCCCGCACAGTACGTGGAGCAGGAGGAGCTGGAGCGCTTCGATGGCGTGGAGGCCGGCAAGTACACGCGGGGCCTGGGCCAGCAGCAGATGGGCTTCTGCGCCGCGCACGAGGACATCAACTCGCTGTGCCTGACCGTGGTGCAGCGGCTGGTGGAGCGCGCCCGCCTCTCCTGGGACGCCATCGGCCGCCTCGAGGTGGGCACCGAGACCGTCGTGGACAAGTCCAAAGCCGTCAAGACCGTCCTCATGGAGCTCTTCCGCGAGTCGGGCAACACCGACGTGGAGGGCATCGACACCACCAACGCCTGCTACGGTGGCACGGCGTCGCTCTTCAACGCCGCCGACTGGGTTGAGTCCAGCGCCTGGGACGGTGGGTTGCCAGCCGTGGGGGTGGCACGAGTGCCATGGGATGCCTGAGGAGCCTGAAACCCGGCCATGGGCCCCGCACCCCTCCAGGCGCTCTGTGACACTCGGTGCTCCCCAGGTCTTGTCCCTGCTGGTGGCCCTGGCTGCCCAAAGCTGCAGGTGCCGATGGGTTGCGTGGGAGCCGCCCCTGACGGCCCCGGTGTTCTCTTGCAGGCCGCTACGCTGTGGTGGTGTGCGGGGACATCGCTGTGTACGCCACGGGCAACGCGCGCCCCACGGGCGGCGCGGGCGCCATCGCCATGCTGGTGGGACCCAACGCCCCCCTCGCGCTGGAGAGAGGTGGGTGCCGCCGTCCCCGCGGCGAGAGCCACCGCTGGCGCCTGGTGCCACCAGCCGACCGCCTCGCCGCCAGGGCTGCGCGGGACCCACATGGAGCACGCCTATGACTTCTACAAGCCCGACCTGGCCTCCGAGTACCCCGTGGTGGACGGGCCCCTCTCCATCCAGTGCTACCTGCGGGCGCTGGACCGCTGCTACGCCGTGTACCGCCGCAAGGCCGAGGGCCAGCGGCAGCAGGGTAAGGCGGCGCCCGCGCCCGGCCGCGCGCCCCGCTCGCGGCGCCCTTCACACCTCGCCTTGCAGCTGGCGCCCCCCGGCCCTTCACCCTTGACGACTTCAAGTTCGTCATCTTCCACACGCCCTTCTGCAAGCTGGTGCAGAAGTCGGTGGGGCGGCTGCTGCTCAACGACTTCGTGGCGGCCCCCGACGCCGACACGGCCGCCGGGCGCTACAAGGGGCTGCAGCCTTTCCGGTGGGTGCGCGGGGCGGGCGCCGCGCCGGGCCCTGCGGCCGCGCGCGCTTCGAGCCGGCCTCTCTCCGCGCAGCGGCGTGAAGCTGGAGGACACCTACACCAGCAAGGAGGTGGAGAAGGCCTTCCAGGTGGCCAGCCAGGACATCTTCGACCAGAAGACCAAACCCTCGCTGCTCCTGTCCTCCCGCAACGGCAACATGTACACGCCGTCCATGTACGGCTGCCTGGCCTCCCTGCTGGCACAGTGAGTCCCCGCGGGCTGGGGAGCCTGCCCTGTGTGTGGGAGGAGAGGCGCGTCCCGGGGGGCTCTGTCCTGGCAGCGAGGAGCAGCTGCCAGTGCCCACCGTGCCCCTGCAGCAGAGACCTCCCCCTGGCATGGCACGTGAGCCCTGTCCCATCTGGGCTGCCGCCAGCGTTTCTGTGGCGCTTGGCTGGAGCGGGGCCGGATGAAGTCCCCCGTGCCAGGCCCAGCCGCGGGAAAGGGCCGTGGGAAGGGCCGGGTGTGAGGGGGCCGCGGATCTCCCAGCGCCGGAGGGCAGATCCATGGTGCAGCGCGGAGCCCCCGGCCCCTGACGGTCCCCACCACCACAGGACCTCGGCACAGGACCTGGCCGGCTCCCGCATCGGGGCCTTCTCCTACGGCTCGGGGCTGGCCGCCAGCATGTTCTCCTTCCGCGTGTCGCCCGACGCGGCCCCAGGTGAGCGCGGCGCCGCGGAGCGCGGCCG